TGGCCAAAGTCATCACTATCGTGTTAGCAGGCCGGTGTGAGACGAACGAGCCGTTGGAAGGTACTTGACCGCCGGCCACATGCCAATCTTGCCGTCAAACATAACACCACGCTCAACACCGTATCTAGGTCTGGCTACTGCAGCCAAGAACATGGCCTTGGGCATAAAGGGCTTGCTCTTCCAGCTTTGTTGGTGGGGTTTCTCACCAAGAACATGGTAAACCTTTCTTCTGTCTTTATCGGCAATAAACCACTTCTCGTCTAGATGAACCACGTCCCACAAGTCGTCAAATTCAAATTGGGGGCCCACGAGAAAACCGGCTCCGCTGGCGGAATGCGCGACCGAAATTGATACGTTCTTGCTAGTTTTGAGGCGTACGAAGCGGCTTGATGCGGGTGAACTGGCGTTGCAGGGTCCCCTTTTGAAGACTGCGGTGGAGTGATCTCAGAGAGATGCCAGTAGCGGCAGAGATGTTCCGCATTGTGGATAGTACAGAGTCGGGTACGTTACTGACAAGTTCCGTTATTTTAACTTACGTGTAGATTGGCTTACGGCCGACGCGCCCCAATTTCGACGACATGTGAATTGTGCCTTGTTTGAAAGACATCCACAGTTTGGCCACGGTGGTGCGGTGCAATTGCATGATGCTGCCAGTCGCTGAGATTGCTCCACGGGCCAACTTTCCTGCAGGGATGTGCTGTTGTAGCAGTCGAATGACAGCGACCTTGTCGTCACGTTGTCGCGTGTGAGCTCCGGTTTGATGCGCGCCATGAAGTGTGCCGGTCCTGCTGTTTTGAACAATAACTTAATGATTTCGTATTATAATTCCGAGAGGGGATGGCGAAGTGATTTTGGGCAGGTAAATCTTCATTGCCCTTCGTTGCAGTCAACACACCCCCTATTCTCTTTCGAACATGATATTGCGCATCAAGTTTGGACAAGTAGTTATTCTTTTCGGGTCGCTCGAATTTTATATGTCGGAACAGAGGCAGTATTTTGCATTCCTTCACAAATGTATAGAATTTGAAAGTATATAGATTTTTGGTAGGTTCCCTATTCCGGAAGACAACTGTACAGTATCTTTCGTTACCTCGAAAATCCAAGGTTGCTGACTTGAGACATGACGATGAGGCTCAGGTTACGTAGTCCAGCTTGTCCGCACAATTCGCATGGCACATTCGTACCAGGCCATAGATTCTCATCGCAGTGTCCATTTTAGCCTGGTGAAGCGAATGCTACTGACAGCAGCCACACTGACACTTGTGTTGCTCGTGTCGTGGGTGGTGCCGCATCTGCAAACGGCCGACACCAGCCCTTATGAGAGGATCTTCCCATTGTCTACCAAAACGCCTTACGCCATGTCTGGCTTAGCCCACGAGCGACCACCGGATCCTGACGACGACTGGTCCACGTGCTCACTGGTCCAAATCAACGCCGTATATCGTCATGGAACACGATACCCCATGCGACGCGAGTACGCCAAGATGCACAGCACGTTGCTCGACCTACAAACTCGGTACATGGGCTCCATCCCGCCGTGGTTGCAAGCGTACACGTTTGGATATCCCGAAGAGTCGTCGGAGCTGTTGGCTCCTGCTGGGCGTCTCGAGATGGAAGGGCTCGGCCGGCGGGCACGTGCCTTGGCGGACCAGTACAATTTGACGTCCAAGTACTCGCGTGAAGCTTTCGTTTTCGAACACACCAGGGTACAACGCACGCTCGAGAGCGCGACAGCGTACGGAACCCGCCCCCCAGCACCAACCTCATGAGAGCTGTAGGTTTGCCGACTCTTACTTTGCAGACACGGCCCCCAACGTCACGTTCATGTGCCGACCTCAGGGACAAGTACTCTTTAGATTACGTTTACCTTGATTCGATGACGAACGTGGTTTGGCGCAGGACATCACTCTTCGATTCTTTGACAACTGCCCGAAGTACAAAGCATGGGTTCGCAAGAGCACGAATATGACGATACAGACCAAGGCGTTTGAAGAATCGAGTAGAGCCATCGCAATGGTCGGTCGGCTTCGCGACGCAGGGCTACACTTGCCGTCGGGCGCGGCGTTGACGTGGCAGGAACTCAATGCGATCTACACGGCATGCGCGTAGGACCGAATCGCCGTTGTTTCGCAGGATTCAATCATCTCACGCTGTTGTAGGTATGACGTTGCGCTGTTCAACCAGTCGCGCACGTGGTGCTCGCTGTTTTCGACGCAGGACTTGCTGCTCCTGGATTTCTACAGCGACTTGAAGAAGTTTTACCAGTGCGGTCCCGGGTTCAACATATCTGTGGCAATTGCTGCCCCACTCTTGTCCGACATGCTGGCCACGATCAAGGCATCCCATCTCACTGGATACTTTCGCTTTGCGCATGCAGAAACGGTGCTGCCGCTCGCGTGCTTGTTGGGCCTGTGCTTGTCGCCATCGCCTCTCACAGCGTCGTGGACCGAGACCGAGATCAATGGCCGGCACTTTAAAGTGTCGGGGCTTTCTCCATTCGCAGGCAATCTGGCCTTTCATGTGTACACCTGCGGCGGAAATGCACGTGACCGCGGGGATGTGCGCATCAAGGTATTGGTGAACGAAGTCGAAGTACCGTTGCCGTTTTGCAATGGCTATTGCACCGTCGAGGATTTGGAAGTCCACTTTCAGACTGCACTCCGCTTCGACTTTAAGGCCGAGTGTGAACTGTAGTGTTGGGCAATTCGACATGTCAGTTGGCACATAGCGCGAGATTCAAAGAGGAACGACCATGCTAACGTTTTTTTAACGAAGACACGATGGACACATACATTGCTTTAGCAAAAAGCTATTTCAATGATCCAACTACGGCAGGTGACTTAGATCATGTGGGCGCCTTCCGAAGGAATCGATTCGTAGTTGGAGCGGTGGCGGAGCTTCTTGGCCACTTTGAACGCGACGAAACCCAGAGCCGCCACGACGGCGGCGCCACCTACCGCCGCAAGTGCGTGGTGATGTTCGCCATTCACAATGGATTGCAAGGACAAGTTGCCGCTATGGTTGCCTTGATGAGGGTACGTAATGTCGTGGTCGCCGCCGGTCCCGTTCGACCAGTTTCCGTCGTGGAAAGAGAGTGTGCCGTTGCGTGTCACGTTGGCAGTCGCTTTGTGTTCGCCATGGTAGAAACCTCCGTGGGCAACACCACCGCCTACCTTGCCTTGCTCTTTCGCATGGTATTCTTCGCGATGCTGACCAAATTCATGGTGCTCTTCTTGGCCTTCCTTGTGCTCGCCATGACTGTACCCACCGTGCGCGACGGCCCCGCCAGCATGACGATGCTCTTCTCCGTGTTTATGGCCCGATTCGGCATGCTTGTGGGCTTCTTCATGATGCTTGTCATGCTCGTGATGAGCTTCCTCAGGATGAGAGTACCGAGGTCCCTCCCCGTGATGATCTCCCTGCCCAGCCATGGTAAAATGCGAAGTGTCGTTCATGATTCCCAACTGACTCGGCCAAATTGTACAGTAAAATTTGGGCTATTTCCTTATACTAGAATACCCGGCACTCGAACGAACTGTGCTTGCGTGAAGGTACTAGCGGCCAATATCACGACTCAAATTTGGTCTCGTACACCATGGCCACCTCTATGCATGAGTTAACGTTATGTGGCTTCAGGTGAACATCTACCATGCCGTTGTCTCTAGTGTATTCTGGCTTGTGTTGAACCTCTACCATTCGTACCACAAACTCCCAACAGCATAAAATAAAGGATTTTCTCGAAACACAAATCACCCCTTTTTTCCGGATACGTCAAGATCGTCAGGAATTTTCCGGAAGCGGTCAGGCGGGCACTTGGCTCTGCATGTCCCAAGACATGGCGTCGACATCGAACGAACGAGTTTGCAATTACATCGACATGGGATGCCCCCGGTAGAGTCTTAAATCAACGGTGTTGTTTCAGAGGGGATTGGGTGGTAGTTGGCGCGGCGGCCGTACTTCTTGACAATCTTAAACGCCACAAACCCCACCGCGGCAACGATGGCAACACCGCCCACCGTCGAAAGGGAGCTGTCGATTTGGGCTGGCTGGGGGAGCGCTTCCAACGACAACGAACCGCCGACAGGGAATTCGATTACTTGGTCCAGCGTGGCATTCACCAACTGGTGCGACGAGTTGTTTCCATGATGGGTCCAGGTGCCAGTCGCGTTGCCTGCAGGTGGTGTCATCAGCGTTGCTGCGCTAAATTTCAAAGTGGACTTACCAGGCTTTCGCAATTGCTTTGCAATTTGACGACGCTCTTTTTCAGCGCGTTCTTGTTCCTTGTGAGCGCGGTGGCGCTGGACTTCAGCACGCTTCTCGGCTTCCACGGCCTCCTCGTAGGCTTGCTTCGCCCTCTTCTCAGCTTCCTTGTAAGCTGCCTTAGCTCTTTCGATGGCTTGCTTGTAGGCTTCCTTCTCCTGCTTGTGCGCCACACTTTGCTGGTCGGCGGCGCCAGCGACGATTTCTTCTTCTGGGACAGACATGGCGAAATGCAAAATGTCGCCTGGCCCAAGCTGACTTGGATTCCTCCAAATGCATGCAAAAAAAGAACGTCCGAAAAAGTACACATTTGCGGTGAGTTTCACCTTGACAAGATTTGAGTCATGCGAAAGTTTGCTGGAGTACGACCGTTCAACGAGCCGGGCTATCGTGCCAGCGCACGAGATTGCGTTACGGCTACGGGGCATTGACTGCGCTCGACAACCATGCCGATGAGCCCCGCAGAGATTGCTTCTCCATCCTTCACAGGCAAGGAAGATATCCTAAATAGGAGCTGTTCTCCGTCGACACCTGTCGATGGGTGCACGGCCGGCCGCTCAGGTACAGTAAAATTCGTGGGCGAAGCAAACGCCACTGGAACGGCAAATGTGGAGCCAACGGAGATGTGTGGGCTTCGTGGTGGCACGTGGGGAAAGCGTCGTTTGACGTGGTTTCGTCAACGTATCCTAATTCGGATGCATGGTACGACACCGAATTTAAGGTTGGGGTTGACATCGGAGAGCCAACCAAACACATGTGCCATGGTTCCAGATGCGCGGGACCTTCGCGAGAGGCACTTGTGCTTGCGCCTGAGCTTGTAAAACACAACAACGAGGCGCCGACGCATGAAGAGGCATGAACCATCTTTTGCCGAAGATGCAGAATTCGTCGTGTTTGGATCACTGAACGAACAGCCTGCCAGCCTGCCCTTCAGCTCCGGTGAAATATTGCAGAAGTTAGAGTAGTAGTACTAATAGTAGAAGTTTGCAAGATACTCGAGGAGCATTCACGCTGTTAGTACATCGAACAATGGACAAGTAATACTACGAAGGAGTTTGGGGTGGAGTTGTTCGCAGAACGAGAGCGATGATGGAACTGAATCGACAGAGTATGCCGCCTGGGCAAGCCCCCGACGGCAGCACCGGCCCGATGGGACCCGACCAACTGTACCACCTCGTCCTGGAGCTGTCTGTTCCGGAACAGCGCGAAGGAGCACTGTTGGAACTGAGCAAGAAGCGCGAAGAGTTCCCTGAGTTGGCGCCGATCCTTTGGCATTCGTTCGGGACCGTTGCAGCTTTGCTTCAAGAGATCATTTCGATTTACCCGCTCTTGTCGCCGCCCCAGCTAACTGCACATGCGTCGAACAGGGTGTGCAATGCGCTGGCACTACTCCAGTGCGTTGCGTCGCACGCCGAGACGCGGACTCATTTCCTGAATGCCCACATCCCGCTCTACTTGTACCCGTTCCTGAATACCGTGAGCAAGAACCGACCGTTCGAGTACTTGCGACTGACGTCATTGGGGGTCATCGGCGCGTTGGTCAAGATCGACGACACGGACGTTATCAACTTCTTGCTTCAAACCGAGATCATTCCACTGTGCCTGCGCATCATGGAAGCGGGCAGCGAGCTGTCCAAGACGGTGAGTTCCGTCTTCCTCTCGTGTAATGACATGCACAACTGTGCCGTAGGTCGCAACGTTCATTGTGCAAAAGATTCTCCTCGACGAAATGGGCTTGACGTACATTTGCCACACCCCCGAGCGCTTTTACGCGGTCGGTTCCGTGTTGTCCAAGATGGTCACGATGCTGGTCGAAGCCCCGTCAACAAGATTGCTCAAGCACATCATCCGATGCTACCTCCGACTCTCGGACAACGCGCGTGCCAAGGACGCGTTGCGCCAGTGCCTTCCCGAAGTCTTGCAAAACCAAACTTTTGACGATGTGCTCAAGGAAGACCTGACGACTAGTCGATGGCTGTCCCAGCTGCTCTACAACCTCCACGACACGAGCAACACGAGTGGCAGCATCGGCATGAACCTGACCGGTCCATCGTCGGCGAGGTCGGAAGGCAGATAGACCGAAGAAAGCACAACACGTACGATTGTCCATCCACACGATAGTCTGTCAGCTCGCGACGGGCGAGGCAGCTCTGCCGCGGTGCCGCATGCATAACTCGTTCCAACTGGCCTTTCTACCTACAGACCGCTGTGCTCGTTGAGACATCCGCACGTTTGCTTCGACAACATGCAGTGTGTTGGATCTGCAGATGGGCTCCCTCATCTTTTCATCGAAGATGTCCCTCCATCGCCCGCGTATGGTGGCTGGAGCTACATCGCCGGTTACTTCGATGCGACGGCTTGTGTGGTGTGATCGTGCGATCGCAGCAAGTCGAGCCACGACAATTCAAGCGCCAAATTCGTTGTCATTGAGTCGTTCATTCACACAAGGGTTCTACAGGGCAATGGAGATCAACTCCCATGGTTTGCATGACTACAAGCTGTCGGCCGTGCGGTAGCTGCGGTTGGCATTCTTGGCCGCAGCATGCAACAGGTGGAGCATCCGGTCGTCCTCGGACAGCCGATGATGCGGCCGCACTTGCTGGGGGGTTGAAAAGTTGGACAAAACGGGGTTGCTTAAGAGCGACGGCGTCGACATACTGCGCGTCATGCGTCGGATTACGTCTTCTTCGACTTCTTCGTCGTCCATTTCCCCTTCTGACATCTTGACGGCAAGCATTCCCATCTCGTCCCAGTCAATGTGGTAGAGGAAGCCGGCCATCATGGCAAACTTGGCCAGCTCCCCGAGCACACTAGACATACACCCCCCCATCAGAACGCACTCTAGTGGCGGCGTCCTTTACCTGCCCCACCACAGCCCTGGCAGCCCGCCATTCCACACAACTCCAAATAGATACGCACACGGAAGGAGAATCGCCCACGAGCCGACACCAGTGATGCACACGAGCGTCGAGGCCAGGGACATGCCTTCGACAACGGCAGCAAGAACAAGATGCAGCCCCGACAGCGACACGGCAATGCAAAAGATTGGTAGCGCCACGTGAATGGTCGCTTGGAGGTCTGGGTCGGGCGTGAACGCGTCCACGATAGGGTATCGGAAGAGAAACACGACGAGGGCCGACCCGACACTGGCAAACGCGCCCAAGACGAACCCGACCCACATCGTGCGCTTGGCGCGGTCGGGCTGGTACGATCCGAGGAAGTTGGCGACGCGGACTTGTGTCGGGAGTCCAAAGCCCCAGTACACGCCAAAGACGAGGTTCCACAAGTTGTAAATGATACTGTTGGCCGACAAGACCGTTGGACCAAGGTACGATGCCAGCGACGTGGCAAACGAATACACCCATTCGTCCATTGCCATGTTGACCGTCATGCCCAGTGACAGGAGAAGAAATCGCTTGACGCGCTCGCGTTCGAGGCATTCCCACGTAAACCCGTACCAGGTTTTTTCGTGGTGCCTGCGAAAAAAGCAAGAGTACAAGATCAGCGCGAGTGGTTGAAAGATGGCGGCGGCAAACTGCGCGAGGGGCGACCCGATGAACCCAAGCCCGGGAAGCACTCCTTCGATGCCGTAGATCAGGACTTGGTTCGCGCCAATGCAGACGCCGACACTGAGCATGTTGATGACCGTTGCCGGTGTCACAATCTCTTGCGCTTGAAAGTATTGTCTATGAGAAGGGCATGTAATGAACGCTGAATGCAAGCGACCAAATGGCGTACCGAAGGGCGTAGTACACACACTGCGGCCAGATGCTGAGGGCAGAGTAACGGGAGTAAGTACTGGCATACCCGAGCACTTCAGCGTCGTCGCAGAGGTACACAAAGATGTGCTCGACGTAGAAGAACGAAATGCACACGGGAATGGAAAACATGGTGAGGAAAAAGATGCCCAATTGCAGCCAAATTCCAACCAATTCATAGTTTTGAGCCCCGTACGCTTGACCGCACAGCTACGATGCAACGTACATAACTACGCGACACTTCCGACAAAACTTCGTACCGTGCATAATGCGACAGCGAATCCATAGATGACGACCTGGACCCCCGAGATCCAAATGTTGGCCAACGCACTGCCGGCAAGCTCATTGCTGCCTAAATGGCCAAGGAATGCCGCGGATATCGTTGGAAGGGACGTTTGACACACCGTCACCAGGGACACCTTCCATGCCATCTTCCACACAGCGCGTGCTTCGTTCCAAAATGCTCGTCGCATTGCGCGAAACGATTTTTCCCGCGAGGGAGCTTCCAATGGCTTGACTTTGATCTCAGGCAGCAAGGCGCTATTTTCTGATGCACTTCGATACCGCAGATCCTCATCGTTTGACGTCATCATTCTTGCCTATCCACTTGATACACACAGAGAGCTCCTCCTGCTTCAATCAATTGGAAAGGAATAGGGACGTCGGACAGGGTAGTCGCCGCCGATGCTTTGCTGCCGCGATATCTTGCGAAAAGATATTCTGTTGAGGAAAGTGAGGTGGCCCACGCGTCCTCGACAATGTGATTGGTGAAACAATCTTTATCCGGACAATGTTGTCCGTTCTAACACTAATTGTAAATTGTTGTGGGTGGCGAAACATTATACCGGATATTTGATTGAGTCACGAAACTATTTGTTTCGCACGAGTTTCGGAATCCAGAAACTCGCGCATATTAGTCACTTGAGCTTTGTATTCAAGCCAAACTATCTTGCGAATAGTTCGAGATCACGCCAAATAAAGGTAAATACTTTTCCACTTCAATATTTCGAACGGCCAATATCCGGTTAAGTACACTGCTGACAGTGTACTGTGAACAAGTTCAACAAGAGGCAGCCGTGGCCCCGGCGACACCACTGCATGGGGCAAAACACACTCTGCATGCCACAGCAGCGCGAGTAAGCGCTGGCGCTTGCGATGCTTCCTTGCGGCCATCGCTCTTCTGCAGCTTGAACGGATAGAGGCAGTTACATGTAACGGTCACATTGCATTGTTCAACGCACTGAACCGTCGCGTCGATGGGCGCAGGCGCATCAGTGGAAGGAGGGAATGCGTCTCCAGCGCTAACGCCGCGAGTCATGGTTGCCATGCAAGCTAAGACAAGGCTGACTCCTGAGGAGCTGCAACTTCTTGGGGTGCATTTTCAGAGGTATCAGCTCCAAGACGGCCCAGCAGCAGCTATCAGCACGGACACCGTGAGTCTACCCACAGGCAGTATCGACCGCGTCAAGTTTCAGCAAGCGATGGGACTACCCGAAAAGGAATCCACCTACGCCGACCGCCTCTTCAACTTGATCGATGCAAACCACGACGGCCGCATCTCGTTTGAGGAGTTTGCGCTGAGTGTGTCGCTGCTGTCGACCAAGGCCACGCTTCACGAAAAAATTAAACGTAAAGTGCACCAACTCTATCTTTGCTGCGCATCTAACCCACCATCGACAGTATCGTTTGATATCCTCGACATGGACGGTGACGGCCAGATCGCCAAGGGGGAACTCGCCACGATGCTGCACATCACAACTACCGAGAACAACATCAAGTTAACGAAAGACCAGGTCGAGCTCATCGTGAACAAAACATTCGTTGAGCTTGGCGCGGACGGTGCCATCACGTTCGACAAGTACTCGAACCTCGTCGCAGCGAACGAAGGCATGGTGAGCCACTTGTCCGTGAACCTCGCGTACATGCTCAACGTGACGGGCGTACAGGCCTCTCTCCAAGCAACCGTGTAATCCTAGACTAGACACTTTACGAACGCGTTGTCGTGTTCACGCTTTCAGATTTTTGGCTTGGCCATTCTGGTCCATCAACGTGCCAGGGTGCCGTCGCGAGGATGCGATGTAGCTACCTATAGTCAATTTTCTCTCTATGAATAAATACAGAAGGCGCCATGCATTTTGGCCATCACTAGCTGCACTGAAGCGCAAACAGCCTCTCGACCTACTTTTGTGAACCTGGGATGGGATTCGACCTCAAGTTAATAATAGTTTCGACAACTTGGCCCAGCACAGTCGCAAAACGTGACGAAAGTCTTCGCCCCAGTCGCAATGACAACAAACCAAACCGACGACGGGACCATGAAGAAGGAGGTTCCAGCCATGGTAGCGGCCTTGACGCTCGATCAAGTCATTGGCCACGGAGCGTTCTCAACGGTGCACAAGGGCATGTACAACTCGACCATGCCCGTCGCAATCAAGCGCCAGAAAGTGACGCAGGCTTCGACGTACATCAACCGAGAGCTTGCCCTCCTCCAAGAGACCAACCATCCCCGCCTTGTTCAGCACATTGGGTCGTGCACATGTAACAACTTGACTCCGCCCGAAGTGTGGATCGTGTCCGAGTACATGGCCGGCGGCGACGTCGCCCAAATACTTGCGTTAAACCAGGAGACTCACGTGACGTGGGTCCAATGCATCCAAATCGCACTAGATGCAGCCCAGGCGCTGGCATATCTGCACGACCAAGGGATAATCCACCGTGACATCAAGTCGGCCAACTTGCTCGTACTCACTTATCGCTGTAGATCGTTTAACGCTAACGTGCTTTGAGCTCAATAGCTAGACGACAAGATGCGATGCAAGTTGGGCGACTTTGGAATGGCCCGACGAACTGAGACTGGCAGCCACCAGCCCAAGCGGCGCATGTCGCTGTGTGGCACAGATGCCTACATGGCCCCGGTAGAACATCACATGCATCCGACCCACAGGTTTGTTAACGCTACGGGTACAGGAAATGTACATAAGCGAAGAATACGACGAGCGCGCGGACGTGTTTAGCTTGGGCGTCGTGCTCATGGAGCTAGGTTGTCGTCAGCAGGTTCGCCTTGAGCCCAACAAATCTGTCATGTATGATGGACGTGGCTTGAACGACAGGCAAGCCACACGACTGGGTTCATGCAACGATGGCCTCAGACACAGTTCCGTGTCAACTTGGATGCGTTCCGGGCTCAAAAGTTGTCGACATGCCCACCGTCCCTTGCATTGCTGGCGGAATCGTGTGTGGCTTTTGAACCGGACGAGCGCCCCGTGGCCCGAGAGGTACAAAAGTCGTCGCGTTGCATGCTTGTATGCTCATGGAGCCAGGTGGTCGAGTGGTTGGAAGATCTGGCCGCGACGTACGTTCCACTAGCGGAAAGCTCGGCGACGAAGGTCGCACATCGAATTCCAACCACGAAACCCACGCAGCCTCCGACCATCCAAGGGACGCTCGAGCGAAAATCCCGCCGAGGATTCATTCGATGGTGGGCACCTACGAACGTTATCGTGGTCGACACGACACTGTCCGCGTTTCGATCGACAAAGGCGCTAGACGCGACCAAACACGGCCATGCAGATTTCACGCTAGACCTTCGCGCTTGCACATTGCACCATGTACATCGCTATGCTGTGTCGCATTCGAAACCTTTTGTTGCATGTGTATGTGCTGATGTAGCCGTCGCAGCGGCGATTCGTCCTCGTGGACGCCGCCGCCGCCGCCAAGGTGAGGGGTGCATTGCAAGTGGTGTCCACCCATTTTTCGAATGTTGAACAAGAGCGCTAGCACGAGTTTCAAGCATCGTCCGCTGAAGAGTGCCGCAAATGGGTGGCAGCACTCTGCACTATCATGGCGGCCCCGGCGACAGCGGCCACTGCACCGGCTGACAACGACGTGTCAACTTGGTTAGCCCGACTGGAATTGCCACAGTACGCAGCGTCGTTCCAAGCAAAAGGGTTCCACAGTCTGGCGTATTTGCGGGAGACAGGCCTGGTGGACGAGGATTTCTTCATGCTCGGGATCGATGACGCCCAACATCAAATGATCTTGGCTCGTGCCGCGTCCAACTTGCAAAACGCCGACTAGATATCACACACGTACAAATGCATCTTTACTTGGACGAACCAATCTGTTCTTTGACTGCTCGAAACGCTTTGGTCACGGCCATGAATGCAGACACTTTGTCGGGCGTGTCGAGCTTGGACTTGTCAGGATGAAGCTGGAGCACCATCGATCGGTACTGCTTCTTGACAACGTTAAAATTCGCTTTCGGGGGCACGCCGAGTACGCCAAAATAGTTGGAGTCGCGCCACATGCCGAGGATCCGCGCCGTAGACACTAAATTCGACCCTGTCACGCACGTCGTGTAGTCTGGGAGAGGCGCGACCTGTCCGTGGACAGACTTGTACAGCCGAGCACGCTGTCGAGCAGCCGCAAACATACTCTCTTGTTCAGTCCGCAGGTTTTGCTGCGTGCGGTATTCGCCATCCCAGCACGTGCAGTGGCCTTTGCACATGGAGCACCGCACACATGTCCACAGATGTGCGTGATCGCATTTTGGACACCCCATCGCTTGTTCTACCGACGCGACCAGATTGAACATGACACGTTCGCATGACGACATGATGGCGGCATGCGAAATCGTCCGGCGCTTCAGCGGCATGACCGATAATTTGCGGACAGGCAGCGGCACCACGTGGGAACTCGGTTTGGACGAAGCGGCCTGCGGACTTGGAGTCACAGACTCGACGACAACGGGGCCCTTGAATGGGGACGCTTGTGCAGCTGGTGGGGGCGGCGAACGTGGTGCAGTCGAGGGAATTGCACAAGCAACTGGGTTTGCAGGGGCTTCAGTCGGTTGCGGCAGCCACCGCGTAAATCGGGCCAGGTCCAATCCGGGCGGGACGAACCACGCTTTGGCTTCTGGATCCCATTCTGCGCCAAGTCCTTTAACGAGAAATTTTTGGGGATACGGACACTCCAAGTACTTGCGGTCAGCCGACACTTGGGGGGCGCGAGGCGTCCACCGCATGAACGGCTTCAAGTCTCGGCCGGCCGGAACAGCCCACAGCTTCTTTTCCGCGTCCCACAACGCTCCCAGCGATCGAGCTTGGTCACGTTCGACATAAGGACAGTCGAAGTACATGCTTTCGGTCGAGAGTTGAGGGGGAGATGCGGTTGGACTGCTTGGTTCTGGCAGGGATTCCACCGCTCGAAGTTGCGGTGACCATCGAGAAAACGGCGTGGTGTCCATGCCAGGCGGGACATACCATCCCTTCGCGTCCATATCAAACAGAGCCCCCATCTGCCGCACGACTCGACGGTCTGAAATCGAGCAATGCAGATACACGCGTTGGTCCGAGACCACTGGGTGGGTGGTGGGGCGACTGGCAGCAGTCGGCGACGACGGTTCGGCTAGGTTGTTTGTGATGTCGGACAGGGGTGTCATGGCAGAAGAGGCTCCCGTGTCCGCAGGCGTGGCAATTGAGTCCGAGATGTCGTCGATGGGTGTCGGATCATCGTCCTCCGTCAAGTCCACAAAGTTGTTCGCTGGCGGGGCGACATGCGACGGTGGCTGAAAACTATCCACAGCCTCGTCGTAGTCTTGGACAACCTTGTTGGGGTTGCCTTCGTTGTTGCTGTCGTTCGAAGTAATCGCAGCGCTGCGTAGGTGTGACGAGTGACCAAGTTGTTCGATCGCACGACCAATCCATTTGGACGCCTCGTGGTGGTGCTGCAATTGCGTCGCAAGCTCTTTCAGTCGCAGCTGAATCGTGTCCAAGCTCGGTGGCGGCTCGTGCACGGAGTGTGCTGCCGTCGAGTCGCGGGTGCTACGTTCGATCTTGTTCACCATTGTGAACGCAGGACTCCTGAGGTCGGCAAGCACGGTCGTTGTAACCCAGACATGCCACGACAACGATCGCTCGTGCTTGGCCAAGTCCTGCCTGATTGTATGCAGCTGGTCCATCATCTCTTGGGCGCCAGCGGGGTTGACCTCTTCGTCGAGGAGGACGTAGTGCCCTAGTTGGATGCGTTCACCGTGCTGGTGCATTCGTGCAATGGCAGCTGGGCTCATGAGATGTTGCACGGCATCTTGTAGATTGAACGACGACGCATACTTTTGCAGCCACTTGGACCGATGCGCAGTCGGGTCGAGATTGCAAGGCGATGGGATCGATGGCGGTGCTGAGCTTGGCCCGAGAACGAGGCCCAAAAACGTCGACTTCGACAGCGTTGCAGCGTGAGTTGCTGCAAAGGCACGCCACTCAGGCGTAGGCACGACTTGGCGCCAACGGTGCAAGATTTGTCGGCGGTGAAGCGCCAAAACGGTCCGGGCAATGGCCTTGAGCCCATTTGTGACCAAGTGGACTTGGCCAGGCACACTATCGATCAGCCTGGCCATCCACATGCACTGTTCCAAGTACGCAGCTTCGTCTTGGAGCTTGTCATACAAGGTGGTGTGTTCGTCGTTGATGGATGGCCGAGCGAGGTCGCAGAGTACTTCGGGACAACAATCTCGAGTGGCTCGCACTAGCGAGCTCATGTCTGGAAACGCCACAGTCACGTCATTGCCGAATGACCAGAGCGGTTTGGAAAGCGCAGCATGTGTGCGGGGAATCGAGTCGCTGCGCATGCGGCACAGGAAGGGTGCGACGGTGGTGCCAAACTTGGACGCGAGAAGAGAACTGGCGTACGTGTGGCTGCCGAGATAGTGGGCGGCCAGCGCAATATACTGGACCAACAAAGCCGCCTGAGACATATCGATGTGCCTCTCCGGTGAAGGCGGGTATGCTGACGAGTCGATCAGAGTGTGGACCCACTGGGAAATGCAATCATCAAGGGTTCTCATGTCTTGAGCGCTCAACACGAGCTTCTGGAGCTGATTCTCGTCCAAGTAGTCGAGCGAATGCAGCTGCAGAGGTCGGAGGTAAAAGTACGGGTCTTGGCAAGGTGGAACGCATTGACGCTTCGTTTCCGGTTCTACCGAGAACGATCGTGCAACGGGCGAGGCGAGTGTGATCGAGCGTTTATTTGTTGGACGTGGCGGTCGTGGAGTCTTCTGCAGCTTGTCCAGCGCCGCTGCTTTGAACGTCTCGATCTTTCGAACTTCCGTGGCTCGGTCGCGATCTCGCGCGAGCTTGCCCGCTACCGTGCATTGAAGGGTCATGGCAGCATTCGCAAGCCGGAAGTTTGCAGCCGCTTTGTCCACCTGCTGCTTCAACGCGGTGCACGCTGCGCTCGCAACTTCCTGTTGGCGTCCAGAGAATCGAAGATGACGTTCCAGTGAGTGAGTACGCTTCAGCACCGTCAAAGTCGAGGTGGACAAGTCGAGTGCACTCCCTGCAGCTCGAGCGTTAAAAAGGTCACTTGACAGTATCAACTTACGCTTTCGCTTCGACGTTCGAGGCGGTGGCGCATTGTACGCCGCTGCTTGCATCGACTCAAGCCGCGATGGCGACGACGTCGGGTCCATGGCCGCAGTGGCCCTGGGACAACAGTGACCGATGCCTTCTTTCGATTGGCTGAATTATCCGGATAGAGGCGGCAATAGTATCTGGAATTCTGGTGACCACGGAAACCTCCGTTCAGGCGCAGCCATGCTGACGGCGGCCCGCTCAGACTGGCACGTCCAATCTAACCGAGGAAACATGCGAGCTTTCTCGATGACTGCCGCAGATCAGCTTTGCTTTGGAGCTTGTCAGAAGCATAGCAGGGTGGCCGGAGGTTACGCATGAAACGTCAATACTTGAATTACCACGATCAACCAAACACTGGAGCTGCGATGGCCAAGATCGCGCCGACAGTAAATTCAGCTGCGATGCCCAAGATCGCGCAAACGGTAGATCCAGCGGTTGTGGGGAAACGTTCCGCGTCGACGTCACATCTATACGTGGTATCGCCGCGTACTGAACGACCAAGGACGACAGGGAAATCGAGTTGCGTGGGCTGCTCCGTCATCACATCACGGCGGCCAACCATCGAGATGCCTCCAGAAATGAACCCGCACCCGGCGTTAGCAAAAGCTACGACTTGGTTGGGCTACTTATATCTGGTCTGTACGATCATGAGCAGTTGGGTATCGCTGGGCTTCATGGCGCCATTCACAGAAAACGATCTGTGGTGGCCGCACTTTAACAGTACTGGGCTCCACACCTTCCTGGGAGAACTGTACTTGATCAAATTGACCACTGATGACCATGGTCAGTTTTCCCTCTTTGACGACAACGCGGCCCTGTCGAGAGACTACTCCGCCCCCACGACCAAGCTACTGCTAAGCCAGTCGTCTTGCCGCCGCATTTTGCTCCAAAACCTGTCCCTCGACATTGCCATCTCGACACTTCGGCGAAGCTCCTTCAGCGACAACATCGTCGTTGTGCCTCTACCATGCTGGCTCGACTTTGGACGACGGTTTGACATGGCCCACACAAGTGGCCGTCAAGAGCGATGCCACCGACGCATGAAATGGAACGGTGGGGTGTACTTGGAGTCACTGCTTCGCAACACCAGGACCAGCGACTGGATGAGCTCAGCTTACTTCAATGCCCTACAAATGACCGTGTTCGAGTCCGTGCACCAGCTCAACGAGTCGTGGGCAATTTCGTGGTTCACATCGCTTCAATTGCCGTGGCTGGATGCACCAGACGAAGCAACGTTGTGGCAGAAGCATGGGATATCCAGGTGGCAGCAACACCTTCAGAATCGGTTTCTTGAAGGCACGTTGGAAACGATTTCGATTGTGAATGGACTAGGCATTGCCCAAGTATTCACAGTGAGTGAGATTCCGGCGACACCCCGCGCACTCGGTTCGTGGTCGACCCAGTTTGCCTCGTGCGGCCTCGAGAATGACCTGAACACGTGCATGCTGACCAACACGACCTTGATTCGTGGCCTGTCCAACTCGTTTGAAGCCATGGGTTACGACTGGGACGTTTACTACAATGGGCCCAACATGACGGTGGGAAGCCAACTGATTCGGTCGTATCTAGGACCACTTGTCGCGATCGACATCACGCTCGTGCCGATTCCACAAATGCTACTTGGCATCGTGCGCGGGTTTCGTGAAACGGTGTGGTCATCGGCCCAATTCAACTTGATACGGCATGCCTCCACCACCCTGGACCCAGCCCCGCCGTCGTGGCTGGTAAACGGAACTACCTTCTATGGCGGAAACCCAATGTGCCCATTTGACAAGCCCAAGCCATTCGTTCAAGCGCCGTTCGGGTACTACGATGAGTGCGACCTCCAGGGGCCCCACGTGATGCCAGTAACTCCCCAAAGCTCCCTCTTTGCCTTGCTGGCACTTGACAAATATCGCGCGCTGTCGCTGGTACAGACAACGTGCTCGTCCTGCATTTCAGCGTCTGTGGCATGTGTGCAATACTTGCACAGCATTCTTGCCGCCTCAAACTCCGTCGACGCACCACTTGACTTAGCTGCGTCGTTTGATCAAGCAGCAACGCAACTCGTGGGGATTAAGTTCATCCAGTTTGCCAGAACAAGGGACCGTGATGCTGTTCTAACACAAACCATGGTGCAAAACCCGCCAGACTTGACGTGGACGTTCTTCGGGTGGGTTGCCATGTACGACTGGGTGAATGGACTGCGCGAGGTGTACACATTTGCCGGGGATAACGGGTTGGTGACACTCATGTCTCGGCCTCACGGCTACCTCGAGATGGCTGCCAACCCACTGGAGTTGCAAGCGCAAGCGTCCAAGTACGTCTGGTATGGTACAGTTTACGTGAGTGCCGTGCTTGGGTGCGTTGGCCTTGTGCTCGTTTTGTACGGTGCCAAGACGTGCTTTCAAGTCGAAGGACTCAACCTCTTTCAAGTGAATCGAATCATTGGTGGCGTGTGGATAGGCCGCCCCCTCCTCATGACCCGAGGGTTCACTGCTTTGACGATTCTCAACACGTGCTCGATGGCGTTTGTTGTGGATCGAGGAGTGTCCCGCCTCGTCTTGCGTCACCGTCCATGGTGGCAGAACTTTTTCTTGGCCAGTGAAGCCTGTTGGATCACGTACGCGCTCAACGATGGCCTCCTGCCGCTGACCCAGCGGTATTCCCATCTGTATGCGCCTGTCAGCGTCGCAGTCTCTTGGACGATCGTGTTTGTCCTGTCGATGCTGGACCCGTACGACGCGCAAGCCATGATCCACCGGAACTGCACGATCGTATCGTTCAAGCACGGTGTCGAGTGCTCGAATGGTGCAATTCACGTCGGTAGCTTGGCCACGTCGTCGCTGATGTTTTGGCTGGCGGTGGCCAGTGTCGTCGGTTCGTATACCGTCGTGCGATGCTTCATCGCCGTGTTTCCATCGTCCGCGCCTCGCAATCACGATAAACACGAGCTCATGCTGTTGCATGCGTCATCCGATGCATACTTTGCCCAACACAACCGTCAACTCGACGCGGTGGCGTGTGCGATGTCTGGGATTTTGCCAATTCGAAAGGTGCTGTTTGACATCACGTCGTGGTCGGTCCACCAAGAGACAGCGTTTGTCCAAGTCCAGTCGTCGTTCCAGCAAGTGCACTTGTCCATGGCGAATCTCGTTGCACAAACGGCGCGCCTGCCCACGATTCGCACCCGGGGGGGGCTCGGCCTCCTCATCATGATCCTCTCCGTAGCGTCCAGCTTCATATTCCTCAAGTTGTCCGACACGTCCATGCACAACGACAACTTGTGGGGCCACTTTACCCCCGCTACCCACGCATACATGTGCAACTGGTTCAATTTCTACCTCCAGCTCTCGCGCCACCTTGACGACGTTGTGATTGACGCCGGGACGCACGGACTCGTCATCGGGGCCATCCCAAACACGACTGTCCTGTCGTCGCAGCTCTACGCGGCATCCATTCAAGACGAAGTCAACTCACTTGTCAACGTGATTCAAGGGCTGCGTCGCATGGATGGGTGTCTCGTGCCGTGGATCGCGACTGCGTATTGCTTTGTCGATTTCAACCGGACATGGGAGATGGCCAACACACCAACACGGCAACAACGGTGCAACCAACGACATCGCGGCAATGGCGCAGTCTACTTGGAAGCAGTGCTGCGCAATGCCGAGTGGTCGCGTTTGTCGGTATGCTGGGGCGATGCTCTCGACGTTGGCATCTTCTCAACCATCAACACCTCCACCACGGGACTTGCGTGGATTGCAGCCGTCCAAGCGAATGCTTTGCCCGCCGAGGACGAAGCGCTGTTCTGGACAGCTCAACATATCTCGACGTTTACGACGCAATGGCAAAACTACAAACGCCTTGGAGTCGTGGAGTCCATCTTGACCAACAACGCTCTCGGCCGCATCCATCAGTGGACCCTGAAGCGATCGACAAGCTCGTTGCAACTTGCAGTCCAATCGTCGTTCAAGCTCCATTGGATGTTGGCGAATGACTTGATCGCCGTGGTTACCCCCAACACAACGTCTCCAATGGCGGGGCGATCCCTCGTCCGCACAAGTCCATCTTTTGCGTTTTCAAACAACACGCCCGACGCGGTTCTCATCCACCATGGCATCCTGGACGACAGCCTGCGGTGGGATCAAGCATTCATGTTATTCCAAACCACGATCGGCCCGTTCGGGTCGGTGGACACGAAGCGTGTTAGTCCGCCTCGGGCATTACGCCAAGTGTACCGCAACATTTCCGAGTCTGTCATGCTAGTGTTGCGGTCCCAAGTGATGGAGCACGACGACGAGATGAATGCGATCTACACGTTGTCGCCTCAGCCGACAGCGTGGGACGGTGCGGCCTTGTGGGGAGGCGATCTGCTTTGCGGACGCAATGTTGGTTCGTACAACCAACCTCTGCAGTTTTTCAGCTACCAGGGGTCGTGCGGGATCTACCTCGTAGACAAGCTGCATGTGACGTCGCCCATGGTGATGCATGCGTTGGTCGCGGCGGGGTTGCTCTTTTTGCCAACAATGCCGCCTATCTGGCAGCGAGACACGTACGACAGCTCGGTGTGCAAGTCGATGGTGCTTCGCAACATTGTCGTGTTGGAAATGTACTTGTCGCGATCGTTGCTTCACGTCCTTGTGGACATGGCGCAGCGCGTCAAAACGGCAATTCGCGACGACATTCAAATTCAGCTCGTGCAATACATTGCTCGTCCGAGTGCGTTGGATCGATTGGAGCTGTCGCAAGTAAACTTGTTTGACGGTGGCGAGACCGACTTGGAGTTCTTTTCGTGGTTGTACTTGTTTGAATGGGTTGAAGGCACGCGGGAGGTTGTCGCGTTTGAAGGGGACGTTGGTGGGCTGGTCACGCTGTCCGCAGAGGCATCTCTCGGCCAACACACTGTCAACTCGATGGAAATCCATGTCAACGTTTCCACGTACGGCCGGGCGTTGCTCCAATACTTCACGACGGTCCTGCTGGGCATTGCATGCGTCGTGACCGTCTACATCTTGTCCAGTCATGGGCTTGTGGAAGGAACCAACATGATTCAGTTCAACCGCATCGCGGGCCTCGTTTGGCTGGGCCGTCCGATGATGATTCTGCGCAGCGTCGCCGCCATCTCGTTGCTCGCAACAACCAATCTCGTGCTGTCCACGTCGCCCAATGGCCTCGTGTCCCAAATCATGCAAGAGCCGCAGACATGGTTGTCGACGGCCATTTCGTCGGGCGAGATCACGTGGCTTGTCTACGCCGTCAACGACACGTTTTCGATTGTGACGCAGCAGTATACGCCTACGTACTCGACCGCGAGCTGCGTCCTGTCTGTGCTTGGCACGCTCCTGTGGAGTTTCATTTCCCCCATCCAGGAAGTGGTGGTCGTGGATCGGGTGTGCGTCGTAACGTCGGTTGACTTTGACGTGTTGTGCATGAGCGGCTTGATTGGGATCGGGAGCCTGCACCGTGTGCTTGGTCTTGTTTTGCTCGCGTTTGGGTGCTGTGCCGTGTGCTTTGTCGTGCAGCGAATCCGCCAGCCGCACTTGGCCAAACTGCACAAAACCGAGTCGTGCTTGCTCCATTCGGCTGCGGACTTCGAGTTTGCCAAAGATCTGTGGCAGCACCGCGGCGTGTACTTTATGGACCCGGCGTCGGCCGCCCTCAATGGCGTCCTCGTGTTTCCGTGGATCAAATCGACGTACATTTTGGACATCAAGACATGGCGAACGTGCAAGCTCGACGAGGACAACATGCTTCGGAACCACAACGTGCCCAAGCACCTCGCGCACTGCATTCCGCTCGTCGAGTGACTGCCGCCGCACGAATAGAGCATGGAGAAACCGATGAATCATTAAACATGCATTCGATTCTATGTAGCTACTTGAGGAGGACAATGATCAAGTTCATGAACGGGCCGAGGAAGTACATGGCCGCCATGACGATGACGATGCACAGACAGCACATAAACTTGCGGCAGATTTTCGGTCCGAGCAGCTCGTTGAACACGTAGAACGGATTCATGCTAAACTTGAGGCGGCCAGCAGGGGGCGGTAAGAACGGACCGTTGTTCGGATCACTTCGACCGAACCCGACCGTTTGAATCTTCGCCTTGTCGATCGGGACGAGTTCCATGCTGATGCACACCGCACCCATCGGTTCCTTCACGTTCGTCTCGCGGTTCAGTCGTTCCATCTTGATCCACGTCGAGTCGGTGGGGTCCGTGTCCCACAGCCCGGTTGCCTCTTTGATCGACCGAATTGCGTCGTTGTCGCGCTGTTGCGCCGTCGTTTCCTTGGCCGTTTCCTTGGGTTTCGTGTCTTGGAACACTTGAAGCGGTGCTTTGAGTTGGCACACCTTCTTAAAGTGCGCCGACATGTCCAAGATGCCTTCGGCGATGCAGTCGTTCGAGGAAAAGATGTCCTTGTCCCACAACTGCATCTTGAAGTAGGGAAACTTGGAGTTGTGCTGCTTGTGGCCAAGCATGACGGGAAACTTCATGCGCCAGTTGAAGCTCGCTTTGCCCTTCTTGGCGCGCCAATGGATGTCCGTGTCTTGGTAGTCCGACCCTTCCAACTGACAGCGAACAAACAAGTCATTCATGTCGGTCAGCTCGTCAAAACTCGGCACTTCCTTGGTTTTCCAGATGACCACACGAAGTTCAAATTGGACGGGCGGGGGCAGAGCAATGTCCACGGGGGGATATACCGCTCCGTCCTTGGGCGACAAGATATCAATCCACATCTTCAAATGGCCCATGGGCGCCCGCGACGTAGGTACCTACGAATGGCGTTTGTCCTGTTGAAAATACACCAGAGAATTGCACACGTACGTAGAGGGTGCGTTGTTCGACAGGTTTTGGACCCCACCGCTCACTTGACTTGTAGTTCTCACCGAGCACTTGCCAATTCTTGTCGAAGAATCGGTCTTCCAGATCGATGTCGGTCGACCCGATGAGGTCGTCGCCACCGATCAAGTCAAAGTCGTACGCTTTCAAGTGCAACGTGGACGCGCCGGGAAAGTCGCAGTTGATTTCAAAAAGTTTGTAAAAATCTGGATCGACCACGTCGTCAATGTAGTTTTTCCGGTCATTGATCGTCGTCTTGCCGAGTTGGAGAACCTAGTTGAGGTCAGGATGAGAGAAGGTGTCGTGGCGACTGCGGGGTGCACCAGGTACGGGTCTGACTTGCCAGGCTTGCCATCAAAGCCCGGGTCCATTGGCTGGAACCCCTCGCCGTTCAAAATGTAGACTCGAACAATATACGGCTGTGGGTGGAGCAGTTTGGTCAGGTTGACGAGGGGTGGGTCGCTCTCTTTGAGCATCACACGAACCTACGACCAAGCGGCATGCAGTCCAGTGACTGTGACAGTGGCGACCGTACCAGGCCTTTAAAGATCCCGGCCACATGAAAGCTGCCATTGGATTCAGCTATCTTCGGCGCTTTGGAGCCAAACTTGAGTAGAGTCAGCAACGATTTCTTCTTCTTCTTCTGCCCCGACGTCAGTTGGTACGTTTCGAAGGGTTTAGTTTTCAAAACGTTGGCTTCGAGCTCTTCCGACAGATCGTCGCGGTTTTTCATGTACTTCTTGCGCTTTGTCTCGTACTCGTCGGCTCCACCGTCCTCGGCGTTGCTGTCGAGAGACGCTTGCGTTGTGAGTTGCGTTGACCGCATGCCAACTTCTGTCCACAGGGACGGGTTGTTGAGGTCCACTTGGACGTTCATGAGCTCCAACGCTCCAAACACGCCCGCGCCAATGTCTTTGGACTTTACGGATGCGCGTGGAAGGAGTGTTGCTGCTTCGGTGATATCCTCATCCTCTTCTTCTGCAACCTTTTCTTGAATATTGGCGAGGTCGAGTGACTGCGGTGGGATGTAGCCGTTGCCCCAGGGAAGCTTGGTCGACATCTACGACCACGTTATCGGCAAGAGGACCTTGGCCACGTCTTACGTTGATGCACGCGTTGCCGATTAGAGGGGTGTACCAGCCGCCCAACCGCGTGTCTTTGACTAGAATGTTCAACATGGGCGCAAAGAGCGAATCCTCGGGTAACTCGACTTCGCGGACAATCCGTTGGAGAAAGTTGGGGTTCGCGCCGGACGGTCGCTTGGACTTTTCCGTTTTCATTTCTTGGTTGGCATGCTCCGAGCTCCCCAAGTTGAATTCGATAAACGGCATTTGAATCGGCAAAAACTGGTACGGTTTCAAATCGCGAAGACCCAGCACGATGATCTCCAAATACGCAATGCGCGTTTTCGGGACAATTGACCGTGGCGGAGGAAGCACAGTGTCGGGCTGGTCCACCTTGACAACGACAACGGACGCAAGAATGTGGCCATCGGTGTCGCCTGCTTCTTGCTGCACCAGAGGATACCACTTGGGCTCTGGGTCCGGTCGGGTATCATCGATCGCGCGGACGTCCGACGACGTAATCGGGACAAAGGATGACCCAATGTAGTCGTCGGACGAACTACCGATACCAGCGTCCCAGTCCATCACTCGAAGGATAACCTGCATAAAAGGAGTCACGGTCCATGGTGAAGGACGAATCGATGTACCTGGGGGGAGTAGTGCAGCATGTCCTCCGGGGGCAAGTCGACGTCGAACGTGACTGTCTCGTACCACAATGGGTTGACCGTCTTCTTTTTCACGGACAGCTTGTGTTTTTCGCCATTGAAGCGCACCGTCACGTACGGGTCGGCGAGACCGTTGTCGTCCATTGCCGGCAAATTACGGCCCTGAAACACGTTGACGCGAACTTGGTACTTGAATCGCTGGGATAAGCGCTCAACGTTCGCGACTTCCTTCCACTTGGATTGTGTACTCGCCGCGGTGGTGTCCGTGCCGAAACCAAGGTTCAGCAAGATATTGCCCGGGAACACGTCGTCACCCAACGCGTCCACACTTGGGTCTTCTTTGAGCGCCACCCACGCTGGATCCTTGCCCATTCCCTCTTCCAGCAAATCCTTGGCCTTGAATCGGCGATACGAGATTTGTTTGCGACCCTGCAGCTTTCCTAAACACCAAGATGAGTCCCATCGCAACAGGACATGACTCGTGGCGCACCATCCGCTTTGCCCTTGCACAAGTACACGAAAATGTCAGGTATTTGCGTCACATCGGCTGGCAAGATCAACAGATCCGACTCGACCAACTGGTTCCACACGACCAGCCCCTTGTTGTTGTCCCGGCGCTCGAACTCGAGCTCGTTCAACCCGCACGTGATTAGGATTTGCATCTTGGAGTTTCGCGTGCCAGCGCCGGACAGGGACGCCATTTGAGGAATGTCCGTGCCGGTCCCCACAAACGCACGCAAACGGTACGCGGCAGTCGGCGGGTACAATTGCTTCGGCAATGGTGTGGCCTTGACTCGCTGGTTTACTTCCTCCAGCGACCGATCGTTGGGTCGAATGTCGAACGTGACAAGGATGCGACCACGGTAGTACGACCCCAGGTCGGGAAACGTGTTCATTTCGGACTTGGCTGTGTTTTCGCCAGGGATGACGCTCGACGTAAAGTTGAGCGGGGCCCCGTACAAATTGATCCACATTGGACCATACGTGCCCGACGCTGACGCGGCGCACATTTTTCGGATGAGCCGCAGCGACTGGTACCTAGTGACCTCGTCATGTTTCGCGCGACGGACGGAGGCTTACGAGTGAGCGACAACTTCGTCGCTGCCAATGCGATCCCAGTCCTTGACGGCGAGTGTGACCTTGTTGGCCAAACTCGGCTCGCGCAGGACAATCCACAGCTCGTCGTTGAACGCAGGACACAATTGGTTGCGCTCGCCTTTCTTCGTCTTGACGCGAGTGCGAATAGACTTGTTGCCGGCCAGAGACGCTTCAACGTATGCGTCAATTCCTTGCTTGAGTTTTTGGCCAAGTACGGTGACGCTGTCCATCGCGGGCAGCTCCTCCCCCACATGGACAGACACAACCAAGAACGACACTTCTTGCTTGATGCTGGACGGCATGATGACATTCTCCAAGCGAGAATCTTTCGGACCAAGCGGGGGAGGTGCGACAAACTTGTCGCCCGGCCCTACGACAGTGATCGATAGGCGAACGTAGCCTTGAATGCCGTCGATGCCAGGGGCAAGCAGCCCGACCCACGTCGTGCAGATTTGGTGGTTCATTTTCGCATAGATGAACGACACGTCAAACGACGTTTCGCCAATGAGCTCGGCGCGCTGCAACGTGTTGGCGTCCATGACGGTGATTTTGATCGCGCCCATTTCGACCTTGTCTTTGTCCACGTTACGAAAGGTGAAGATCAACACTTCGTCCCACACGGCGCTCAACGACTTGGACTTGGTCGAGGTGTTTTGCTTTTGCTCCATAACTTCGACGTACACGACCGGATCCGACGTCCCCGTCGCGTCTTTCGGAACCAAGTCCCGGGCTACGCCACACTTGCATGAAGCACCAAGGGCCGACGCAATGAGGACGAACCTTCAATGATGTGCACTTGCACAGCGTAGTCGCCAGATTTGATGTGAATGTCCTCAAGGACCTTGCGCTCTTCGTCGCGGGCCTTATCTCTTTCTTCTTGCTCCTTCTTGACCTCGTCCGGGGACTTGACTTGCTCTGGTTTGTTCTCGAACGCGTCAGCATCAATTCCTTCTTCGTCTTCGTCGCCCGCCTGTATCATATACGTATCGAGCCACATGATGTCGGGAATCTGGCGGGGCATTAAGGGACGTACATCGGGGACGCCCGTGATGGCGTTGGTGATCTTGTTGAACACATTCACGCGCTTTGCCTTGTTGGATGCGACGACAGCCGACACGTTGTCCGTGTACGTCCAATGCAGCGTGACTGTGAGGGTACCCAGGCCTTCCTTCTTGCGAAACTTCTTGTCCAAGAGTTCCAACGTTACCGTCTGCGGCGTGCCGTCCTGGAGCGTTTCGAGTGGCACCTTGGCCTGGCCCATGAAGTCGTTGAATGCAGTGTCAAAGTCCTCGACGACAAACTGGACGAACTGGTTTGGGTCGTCCACGGGAAGCTTGAAGCTCTCGTTCCACATGCAGCTCAGGGTCTTGTATTTCGTGGTCGTGTTGAGCTTGGTCTTGTTGCACGACACGATTACGAGCGGGTCGCTTGTCCCGCCAGAATCCATCGCTGGCAAACCTGTTGCACTCTCGACTTTCACATGGAGAAGGTTGGGAGGTCCAGTCGGAGCGGCGAGGGGTGCAATGGCGTGGTCGCTGGCACTCGGGGCGGTGGGAGGCGATACAGTCGTGCTCGCCGGTTCAAACACCACAAACAAATCGCCCGTCGCATGCTTCACCGAGCCAAACTTTGTCACGGGAAAGGATCGTTCAACGCGGCCAGAGATGAGGCACCTACGGACGTCGTCCATCGGGACGAGGACGCGGCCGAGGGCGACATTTTTCAAGAAATTTTTGTCGTAGAGCGTGAAACAGAGGAAATGCGCTGACCGCAAGTCCATGTCTTTGCCCAGGACGAACGACTCATTCCACAATGGATTGACAGTCTTTGGCACGTCCCGAGTCCTGTACGATTGAGTCTTGATCACATCTTCGTTGGACCGGAGCAGCGTCAGCTCTACAAACGGATCGGACGTTTTGTTGGATCCAAACCCATCGTTGCCCACAACGTGCACCGCGCGGACTACCGTCACACGGATCTCGTCCGACATGACGACCACCTTCGCAACAAACTGCTCAATTGTACGAACAATGAAGACCCACCACAATATGTTCGACGTCGAACAATATGCCCAGGACGTGGATTCTCGAATGGGACCGGTGTAGCTCCAAGTGAAATGGCGGCATGCAACTATCACGCCACTTACAGGACGTGACGTTGCCAGAATTGCCAGCACCAAGTCGGCGCGACATCCAGAGCCACATCCGGGCGGTGCCGTCGTTGCAAGTTCGAACGGACGACCTTTCGCACCATACGGTCAAGCCTCGGAACTTGAAAGCACCTCCTTTCGCGACAAAGGATTGCACAGCTATGTTGAGATTATGATATCCCATGAAATAAGTGGTGAGGGTGGAGTCCACGTCGTCGCCACATCCATGGATGTATTTCTCTTGCAATTGGTCATGCTTGATGCTGCTTCATGCAACATGGATCTTCCCAAGGAGTGCGTTTTCGACAGTTGCAATGCCTGTCCTCGCTAGAGCTCTCAAGCGAGTAGTCTGGGCTCTCGTACTGTGGGTAGGCATCAATCGATGAGCCTCATGGAAGTGCTAGTGGAAGCGTCCTCTTCAATTTCAACATCGACTATTTAGCCAATGAAATATCGTCATTCGATCCACTTGGCCGCTGATTGGTTAAATACATCGGATCTCGGCAAGTGCTTTGGTATTGTGTCTTGGGCAGCAACATGACGATGACGGATGTTCCAGCGGTCGTCCAAGTCCCAGTAAAGGACCTGGAGCACCACACGAGACTAGCCCTTGAGGTGCTGGGATATTCGCCGGACGAGTCTTCCATCATTGAGCGCATCCTGTTGTATGCTCAACTTCGCGGGAACACTCAAGGTGTGGTGAAGCTTGTGACCAAGTCACTCGACAAGCATCCGCTCTCGTCCACGAAGCCCATTGCCGTGGAACGAAACTCCCCCACTACTGCATCTGTCGATGGCAACCAACATTGCGGTATGCTCGTGTTGCAGTATGCCACCGACCTGGCGATCTCGAAAGCTTCCCAGGGAGGGGTCAGTGTTGTGACTTGTCGAAACTACGCGACATCGACCGGGGCAATCGGATTCTACGCACAAGAAATTGCCCGTCATGGGTTGATTGGTCTTGTGTTTAGCGGGTCGCCTGAGTTGGTGGCACCCCATGGAGGCACGCAACCGCTGTTTGGCACGAACCCCATTGCAATTGCGTTTCCAAGGTATCCGCTCGAATGGCCGAGACGAACTGTGTGTGCCTTCTACCCCCGCCTGTGTATTAAGGCGCTGCTTTGATGCCATTCTTCCGGAATAAAACAGGCTATTCGGACGTCAGCTGGACGTTCGAGATGCCATGTCGACGATTGACGAAGTGTCTTGCTAGGAATGATCGCGATACCCCGCTCGTGATGGACCTTGCAACGTCTGCGATCTCGTACTTCGCCGTGATCTTAGCCAAGCTGGCGAAACAAGCTATCCCAGCCAACGTTGCAATTGATTGCCAAGGTGAACCGTCCTGGATTCGGCCATTCGTAACATAGAGATGGAATCGCAGGCAAGCCGACGACGGATCCGTCGGCCGTTCATGCGATCTTGCCGTTTGGTGGGCACAAAGGTTCCGCTCTCGCCCTGGTTGTAGAATTGTTTAGCAATGCGCTGGCCGGAGGGGCAATCCATGACAAGGACAATGCGAACGACTGGGCAAGCTGCGTGATGGCCGTGGACCCGACTCGGTTCCATGCAGACTTGAATGCGTTTACGGCGCGAGTCGAGCAAATCCTCGGTCGTGTCAAGTCCAACCCACCGATCACGCCCGGAGCGGCGCTGTGGTTGCCGGGAGAGCGTGGAAACAGCGTGTACCATCAACATGTGACCCAAGGCACGATCGACATGGACGCGTCGTTGTGGCAACAGCTTCAAGACTTCACGTCGGCGAAAAAGACCTCTCGGTTGTAGCTTCCGCCGCATCAAGGGGTGCACGATGCGAAGCGGAAACTAAGACACCTAACATGGTGGTGGCATGCGTGCATGTGGTGGGCACTCGAACCGAGCTCCCACATACTACTACTAGAAACTCGACCACCCCCACGGCATGCAACCACACTACATCGGTCATTCGTCGCAACCCTCGTGTACTGGTGCGTGCGACGATCCGCGTCGACACGGGAGAGCTCGCACGAGCAACCATGGACTTGCCACAACGACCTGTGTCGCTTCGACCAAGCCCACGTGACGCCCGACTTTGTGCATTTCGTCTCGAGATGGAACGTTGTCCATTTATTTCATTAGATAAATCGATGCTGCTTGGACTCACACAGTTGGTTCAAGTTTGTCGCGACCGCAGAGATGTCGTCCCACCCATTGTAGATCAAGCGCAAGTGTGGCAGATTGAATCGTCGGCTGGTCGTGCGACATGCATCGGCATCTTTGAATTGGGGTTGCATGGATGGAGAGGGAGTCTTGAAGCACGGACAGGACTATTGGCTTGGCGTAGAAACCCAGAGCTTCTCGATGCAGTTCATGATGTCATGTTGGTGGTCGCACTGTTGCTGCCGCGCCCGCGAGGTGTGACTTGACGATCGCCCAACAGAGAAGGTTTATTTAATTGTATACAAAATGCAAGATGATTTAATATATTACATCCCGAATCATCCGGATAAACGTATTCGGCCTTCGAGCGTGTTGTGCGCGAGGGGTTCAGTGGGGATTTTGACGTGACGACGAACATGGAACAGATTCGCGTGCGCGTCGTCCGCGCCGAAGGCGTGATCGGGACCGACGGATTCGGATCGAACAAGACGTCCGACCCATATGTGGTGCTGTCGTACTTGGACCACACAGGCTCTGAAATCAAGAGCGAATCGCGCAAATCCAAACACATTGAGAAGAATCTCAACCCAGAATGGAACTTTGAATCTGTGATCGGGAACGACGTCGACTTACGTGTCGTCGACGCACTGGCAATCACCGTCTTTGACAAGGGAGTGTTCAACAACGACCCTCTCGGCCGTGTAGTCGTGCCGATGACGAACATCCGTGTCGTGACCACGGGGCAGCCGTTCCAACTAAACCTGCCATTGGAAAAGTTCGCCAAGATGAAGACTGTCTCGGGAACGGTGCTCGTTGAATTCGAAGCGGCTGGCGCACCTTCCTCTTCAAGCTCGGCGTCGGCTGCCCCTGCAGGCTCTGTCGGCATCGACATGCCTCAAGACGCGCCGACTGGGCCGCCCAATGTCTTGTTGGTGACGGTCGACAGTGCGAAAGGCCTTAAGGCGATGGACAAGGGCGTATCCAGTGACCCAATTATCCACGTCGTGTGCAACAAGACCAAATTCACAACGACCAAGAAGGAGAAAGTCCTCGCTGCCATGTGGAACGAAAGTTTCCGCATCCCTGTCACGGACGCGTCGCAGGACGTCGAATTCATCATGGAAGATGTCGACACGTTTGCAAACGACTTCATGGGCCAAGTCAAAGTCCCGCTTTCGTCCTTGGTAGATGGCCAAGCGCAAACCCTGACCTTGGACTTGCTCAACAAGAAGTACGACAAGGAGGACCTGGGGACGATCACGGTCAAACTGCAGTGGATCTTTCATTCAAACGTGGATGATGTCGTTGCGTCGAACAAGAAGAAGAGCGGCAACTTCTTTGACAAAATGGCCAAGAACATGGGTGTTGGCATTCCTGACGTACGTGACGATTATTCAACCTTCTCTCCAATTTATGCGTCGTATAGGCTGGGGACGACGACGAAGATGCAGTAGACGTTGAAGCTGCCGACACCGTTCCGAAAAAGTCGGATGAAGAACTCAAGAAGGAAAAGGAGGCGCGTGAAAAGGCCATGGCGGAAGAAAAAGCGGCCCTCGAAAGCATCAACATCCGCTCTGGGGACTACACGGTGCAGGTCCACGTCATCGAAGCACGCGACTTGGTCGCCAAGGATGCCACCGGCACGTCAGACCCTGTTGTGTACGTCGAAGTGCTTGACCAAAAGCAAAACACAGCCACCAAGCACCAAACTCTCAGCGCGGTCTGGGACGACGTGTTGATCTTCAACTTCCGTAACTTGGACAAGGAACAAATGGAAATGGGCGCGCTCAAGTTGTCCGTGATGGACGCCAACACGTTCGAGCGTGCTGAGCTCATCGGTGAAACCACTTTCGACACATCGTTTGTGTACTCCAATTTGAACCACCAAATTTGCAACAAGTGGGTGGGGTTGATCGCTCCAGGAAGCGACAAAATTCAAGGGTACTTGCGCGTGTCAATTACGATTTTGGGACCGGATGACAAGTTTATTCCGCCCCCACCGATCGGTCCAAATGAATCTGGCCTCGACGGCGTGCTGATGCCTCCCAGTGTTCAGCAACAAGTCAAGTTTCTCGTAGTGAAGATCCACAATGGCGAGCACCTTCCTGCCATGGACCAGAACTTGGGCAAGCAAGGCATTGATGCGTATGTCGAGTGCTCATTGGGCGGTAGTGGCGGCAATGCCTCTATTCGCACACGGGTCAAAACCAAGAAGGGCGAACGCCATTTGCTCAACCCTGCTTTCAACGACGACTTGTACCTCGTTCTGCGAGAGCCCAGTATGGCCAACAAAATTACGTTTAAGGTTATGGATTGGGATCGCGTTGGTAGTGATGAAGTTGTGGCCCATGCCTACCAAAGCATTGGTTTGATTCGCAGCATGGGCGGTGAACTTGGACCGATGTGGATCAACTTGTACGGCGCGCCATTGCAACACGCCAAGGAAAACATGCTCAACAAAGGCGACAGCGTCAAGACACTCATGAACACGTACCCTGATCAAGCAACGACGTATCGCGGCCGCATCCTCGTTTCGTTTTCAATCCAAGAAAACGTCAAGGAGCTGGAAGAGATTAACCAACGTGTCAAGTCACGCCCGCTGCCGAAGGAACTGTACCCCAGCACGAGCATCTTCAAATTTCGCGCGTTCCTCGGCACTGGATCTGACATTCCCCAAATCCCGTCCATGAACCCGCTCAAGAACTCGCGCATGCAAATTATTATCACGTGCGGCCTCTTCGAACTCGCGTTTGAACGTCAGCAAAACAACAAGGGGTTGGTCGTGTGGAACCAGTTGATTGAAAGCGGCCCCGTCGCGTTCCCAGTACCAGTCGACGGCGACTACTCGCAGATCCCAGACGTGTTTGTGTACTTGTGCAAGGGCGGCGACGCCAACGATAAGATGAACCCGCGCAAGCAGATTGCGTTCAACCGGTACAGTGCCAAAGAGTTGATCGAGAAGAACATGGCGATTGAGCCCCATTGGGTGACCCTCAAGGAAGACACATGCGTCGATGCATTGGGCGATGAATCCTTCCCTGGGAACATCTTTTTCAACCTAGGTCTAGCCCCCATCGATGTTGCCGATCGCACCAAGGCTGCGTGGACATCGTACTACGATAAAGAAACGTTGCAGAAGCGCCACAAGTATCAAGTCCACGTGAACATTTACCAAGCGCGCCAACTGCCTGCTTTGGACGACAACGGTTTGAGTGACCCGTACGCGAAAGTTCGCTTCATGGGCGAAGAGAAGAAGCTCAAGGAGAAGAAGAAGACAATTAACCCAACGTGGTACGAGACGCTCACGTTCGATTGCGACTTGCCGCCTCCGGAATTCATCCACTTTTCGCCCCAGGTACTGTCTTTTCCTGGTTTTGTCCAGTCCACTCATTTCGGTTGGCGCAGGTTGTCGTGCGCCTCATGGATTGGGACAACGGCATTGGTGACAGCGGACATGACTACATGGGGTCTGCCTTTGTCTCGATCACGTCCGCGGATGTCCGTGAAGTGAACGACCCCCGCCCTTTGCCGGAACCAAAGTGGTGCGGCATCATGCAACAAGAGGAGGGTGACACGGAAGGTGCGGTCTTGGCATCCGTCGTCGTGGTCAAGATGGACCAGCCGGACATGGAACTCCCGCCCCCTCCTTCGATCGTTCCCGCCGTCCGCAAGGCGTACGTCGAAATCATCGTGCTCGGGTTGCGCGACATGCGTCCGTACCAGTTTTTGCCGATTCAGTTGCCGTTTATCGAGTTTACGTTGGGTGGTCGTGAACACGCCAGCCAGGAAATGAAGACGGAAAAGTCCAAGCGTCCGACGGGTGAAAACCCCAACTTTTTGCAACGCATTGTGCGCGAAGTCGAGTTGCCGGAAGACTCGTTGTTTGCCCCCATGCTCAACATTATGGTCAAAGACACCCGTCTGGGTGGGTGGAATACCCCGACGATCGGGAACGCTTCGATTGATGTGAGTCCTTCAAGATGCTTTCGACGATGACCTGATGGAGTATTTCTAGATGACGACGAAGTTGCCGTGGGGCAAGGGCTACATTCCTCCTCAAAGCTTGGACCTTGACTCCATTCAAGACAAAGTCGCGGAAGACGACGGTGACGACGAAACGCAAGGTTTGTTGAACAGTCAAAAGGGATCGAAGGAAGACATTGGCGCCGGTGTGTTTGGCGCGCTGACGTCCATGAACGTTGAAATTAACTTGGACGACCCGGCGTTGCTCACGGGGAGTGCTGCAAACAACGCAAGCCCCGATGAGCCCGAGGATGAAAGCGCCGCAGACGAATATGAAATTAAGCGCCGAAAGTACATGAAGAATCGTGATGAGTACAGCGAACCGTTGGAGCTGGCCGTGCTCAAGACTCGTCCTTTCGAAACGTACAAGCTGACCATCGGCCAAAAGAAGAAGAAGGCATCGTTCAACTTGTTCAAGATGGGCTCAAAGAAGACGCCTGCGGCAGAAGAGAGCGGCACGTTCCACATTGCGGGTATTTTCAAGGGCTTGGTCCGGGTGATGATGAGCCCGGACGAAGCTCCGCTCATCAACCTCGACAAGCTCCTTACTCCCATGCCATACCAAGTGCGTATCTACGTCTTGAACGGTGAAAATTTCATGCCGATGGACCCTGGTCTTGGTGGTGCCCCTGGCAAGTCGGACCCGTACTTGGTGCTGCGCCTCGGCAAAGACAAGATCAACGATCGCAAGAACTATATCGACGACGTTGTTGATCCCGATTTCTACAAGATGTTTGAGTTTAACACCCACTTTCCCGGCGCATCGACTCTCTTTATCGACGCATATGACCACGACTTGATTGGCGGGGACGACTTGATTGGGTCGACCACCATCGACTTGGAAGATCGTTTCTTCGACAAGAACTGGCAACTTCTCGGCGAGGAATTCCATACGGTGAACCCAGTGTGCCGATGGGGTCCCAAGCCCGTGGAACAGCGCCCGTTGCACATTAAGACATCGAAGGCGCAAATGGGACAACTCAAGCTGTGGATCGATATTCTGTCACCCAAGGACGCGGCGACCTATGAGCCGGTGGACATTGCCCTCCCGCCTCCTCAAGAGTACGAGCTTCGTGTCGTGATTTGGAAGACCAAGGAAGTACCAGCTTTTGACGAATTGACCGACATGAACGACTTGTTTGTTCGCTGTCAGTTGGAAGGCGGTGATTACCAGGACACGGACATTCATTGGCGCGCCAAGAAGGGCAAAGCGAGCTTCAACTGGCGCATGAAGTTCCCCGTCACGCTTGGCCACAAGCAGCACAACTCCAAGTTTCCCTATTTCAAGATGCAGTTGTGGGACAAGGACATTTTTTCCTCCAACGATTGCATTGCGGAAGGTCTGTTGGATTTGGCCCCTCATTTCAAGGAAGTGTGCAAGTTGAAAGCGCCTTTGCAATTCTTCAAGGACAAGAACCCGAAGAAGGTTAAGGAAACCCCGAAGGAAGCCGACAACAACGACGCGATTCGGTCCATCAAGGAGTCAACGGGGCTCTGGGACACCAACCCGTCCGACTCGACATGGATCAAGATGGAACGGCTCAACCGCGACACGAACGTGAAGGAGCCCATGGGTGCCATTTGCGTCACGATGGAGCTCGTGCCCAAGGAAAAGGCCAAGACGACTCCTGTTGGCACGGGCCGAAGCGACCCAAACAACAGCCCGTTCTGCCCGCCTCCCGCAGGTCGCCTCAAGTTTTCGATGAACCCGTTCTACGTATTCAACGAGCTGCTTGGACCCAAGATCTGCCGTCGCGTCATGTGCTGCTTGTGCTGCCTCTTGCTTGTGTTGTTCATGTACTTCTTCGGCCCCATCATCAACTTGCTCATCGTCATGTTCAAGTAAAGTATCGTCCAAGTACCGCCCACGCGTGCCCATACATGACGCAGACTAACTCGTGAATACACTGAAGATGCATTTCTCCGTCGATGTTGGACTGCCCATCGTTGCACTCGACCGGGCATCTCCTACATCCTACGACGCATTCATGAAGCAATACTGGTCGCCTCCGGCATGTCGAATCACATCCACTAGACACACGTCGACGGGTTTGATTCGACGCAGCCCATCGATGAGGCAGTTCATTTTCGTCAGTTGTTCTTCGGTGGTCAACGTCGCGGTGGGCTTGGTCGCGTAGTGGACTTGCTGCTCGTACGTGAGCAAGTCGCCATGGGGCAACGTTTCGTGGAAATGGTTTTTGCACATGGCTGCAAACGCCGTGTGGAAGCCAGTAGCTTGTTTGGATTTGGCACGGGGGGTGGATTCCCTTGGTGGGGGCGGCGTCGGTTCGGCATGGGGTGGTGCTGCTGGCCGAAGCATCGACAGCTTGCGTGGATATCCTTGGGACACGACCGACATCGACCGCGCTTCGCCGTGTTTCGACAACGTGTGGGCGAAAAACGCATCGATCGCTGCCATTTCCGCGTCAGGTTTCGGTTCTTGAGCGACGACATGCGCGACGACTTGCTGCAACCGGCGGTCCATGTCTTGGTTTCTAAGCGCGAACTTGCCGTGACACCGGCAACGAACGAACGAACGCACCGGAGCTCAAAGTCCTGGAGAATTTCCTGCATGGCGGCGTCGTGGTTGACCACAAATCGGCGCAATGCATGCTTGGAAAACGAGAGCAACATGGACGGCATCGTGGCCTCGATGTCGTACTGACTCTGTGGATGCCTCAGCTTCATGCATGCTTCCTACACGACACAAGATGTCTGTTGGAGCTCTCCGACTGGGACGACTGTACGTGTCCAAACAGCGTCGGCGCCGAACGCAGCGTCATCACGGTGGCCTACGTTGAGGCAGCGACCACGATAAACGACCTGAAGGCCTCGTCGAGACACGTACCCGTTTCTCCATCATCGAGTTGTCGTAGTCGAGGAGATCGTCGTCGTTGTCGTCGTCCAAGATCGGACGTGGCACCGACACGACCGCCGACGCCGTCACGCGGAATTCGCCGCGAACGACGAGGTACAGGTGGTCGATGTGCGAGCCTTTGCAGATGCCGACACGAATAGCATCAGGCGCCAAGGACGATCCCGACGATGGGAAAGACGGTACCGTTGTGAAACAAGAATCCGCCGCTGTCGACAAACTTGCTCTGCGCCGCGTACGCGAGCAACGTCATCGTTTCCTTGGGAAACGACGAGAACTGGGGGCACTCGGACAGGAGTTTCTCGTACTCGACCAGCATGTTTTCCTTGTGCATGCCAATGCTACGACTGTACACTTCCTGCCACGAACGTGGGGATCGCGGCGCCATTCGACGAGTCCAGGGAGGCATGGTACATACCCGCGAAATGCAAGCCAACTCGGTGACGGGCGTGTCAAAGTTGACAAGGGCGCTGGCGGACCTACAACAATGCATGCCACCGTCATACGATGCGCCCACGACGGCGTAGTCGACGTGGACAAAACGTGTTCTCACCGGTGCCCCGTACAATTCTTGAACAAACCAACGTCCCCAAAGCATTCGCCTCGCTTCATGGTGGCAAAGAGGCCCGCCCCATGCCCGGCAATCGAAACACTTCCCTGAAGGATCACGAAAAACCCACCGCCGGGGTCCCCCTGGCGAAACACAACGTCCCCTGGCTGGTACGTCGTGATGGTAATGTGCCGCGACACATCTAATAGCGACGTGTCGGGGACGTTGGCGTCGGAAAAATACTTGATGTTGCCTAGGCATGGACCCCGTCATGCATCTCGGTCGGGACGTGGGAATCCACCGAGCCACTTTTTGATGACGCGGATGTCGGCTTGCGTTCTCATTTCAAACGGGACCACAAGCGACGCTCGCAAGGTTGCCAACGCTTCTTTCATCTCGTGCTGCTTGGTGGATGGTGGATGGGGACGCGCACGGGGGTTGTCGTTGTGCGAGTTGTGCGCACCGCTTTGCCAGATTTTGTGGCGAGTATGCGATTGTTGCATGCTACGTGGAGCGTGAGCGACGCAAGGTGTTGTTGAGCGTTTGCGCACACGTCGAGCTGCCGCAAGTACGAAATGGCAAACGCAATGCGCTTCACAATCACGTGAATCGGTGGGAGCGGCGCGGGGATGTCGACAAGGATGTAGCCGTCGGCAGCAGCCGAGTTGAGGACAATCGACTTGATTGTCATTTGCGACGCCCCGATGCTGCGGTATCGCTTCTTCTGCACGACGTAGAGTGTGGATCCGTGGTGAATGTTGCATTGGGCCAGCTCCAAGTTGTCTTCGAGGAGCACGGTGCGGTGAAACAATCTGTCCCATCACACACACGAGGCGGCGGGTCACGTTGGGTTCCATGCAACCGCGACGTACATTTGCTCTTCGTAGAGAATCCCAAACTCTTTGAAAATCAGCACTTTGACGTTGCTCACGGTCAAGTAGGACGCCACTTGAAGTGGCTTGGACACGACGGCGTCGCCGCTCTGCCCAACTTGAACTTGGATCTCAAACGCGTCGAGGATGCCCGCGGCGGTCACGGACGTGGCGTGAAAGAGCTGCAGCCCCCGCCCTTGCAACGACCTCTGTCGAACGACGACGCGACGATTGCCGTTGAATTCATGGGCCAGCGCCTGCATGGAAACCCTGGCGGTGTGCCGTTGGTAGTTTCATCGGTTATGCATGTCCCGCGAGGCCCCGAACGACTGCTGGCGAACGAGAATCGCAACAATCAAGAAAGTGGATTTCACACACTCAACTAACTATCCTAAATGTCGAGCTGGGTCAGCATGGCGACGCCCCGGCGAATCCAATGCTTTTGGTTGTGTTCTTGCGCCATGGGGACGCGGATGAACATTACGAAGTTTGTCGAGTGGCCGGTCGTCGACAGCGTCCCTTGGCGAAAGCTCGTCTTGTACACGGGGCACATGTACACATGGGCTGTGCCCTTGGGGTCCGAGTCCTTGACGGGCTCGATGTGGTCGCGCCGCTTCGGAAGGAGAAGGATCATCGGCATCGCGACATGCAACTCCCGATTCCGCGACTCCACGATCGACATGGAGGAGTTTTCCCAACGCGCTCCTTCCATGAAGAGACCGTAAATGTAAGCTCCGTCCGGCGCGCGGGATGTGATGGCACTGGATGCTTCGGCGGACAGCACTTGCATGTCAAAGCCGCACTGGGGGAAAGGAGCGACTTAGTCCTGCTTGCGGTCAAGGGACACAGTACCTGATCGATGGGCTGCGTGTGCTTTCGGGCAAAGTTCTGAAGCGTGCCCGTGATAAAGGCTTGTGTGAAGAAAAAGCCTGATATCCAGTACGTGGTGGGGCTTTGCTTGGCATCGATCCACTTTTGCAAGAACGAGAGGCGCTCCAAAAAGTCGGTGACCCAGCTTCCAAGGGGCTTTAGGGACGGGTATGCACAACTCGACCACATGACTGGCACTTGTCCATTCACCATGCTGTTGCCCATGGCTTCTAACTCGGCAGAAAGGACGACAAGGCCTTTCAGGGCTCGCTGGACTTCCTTCAGACTTCGGGAAATGACAACGATCAACCGGTTGAACCGAATGAGCTCTTGGGTTAGCACAGTGTTCATGCTTTCGTCGTAGCTCACGGGGAAGTCCAAGTCGGCCTTTTCCGTGTCAAACACGGGCGGAATACGATGGCTAATGTCGGACGCCGCCTCCGCCAACGATTGATCCCACGACTTGCCGCCGCCGCCGCTGCTTCTCGGCTGAAGGGACAGTGCCGACTCGAGTAGCAAGTTGGTTTCCGCGATCGCACACGAAATGTTTGCGTTGTCATGCAAGCCAAACACCTCCGGGCCTTCGTTCATCGGGAGCGAATCGATGTACGACAAATACGACGACAGAGGCCCGGGTGGCGGGCAGTAGTACGTGCCCGACGGGCTGAACTTGTACCCCTCGTCTTGGATGGCAGGAGTGTAAAAGTCAGAGAGCGTATTCACGATGCACCGGCGATCCTTGTCGTCGGTGACGCGACCACCGTAGTTGCACTCACCAGCCAAGTAGGCCAAGGCGGCGTACGGAATCGCATCGGTCGCATGGAGGTCGTCGATGCAAATCTTGAGTTGATCCTTGGAAATGTTCAAGTCCGAGCCCGAAAACACATACTTGATATTCCACCCGAGGGGCCCAAACTTGGTGCGTTCGCGGACCGTCGCGTGGAAAAAACACAAGCCAAAGAGGAGGTTCTTGAACGCTTTCGGTCGAGACGACGAGTCAAGCCATTCGTCTGTGAACGTGAGAAAGCTTCCTTTCAAGTTGGCCCGCATGCCTTTGGGAGGTTCGTTGGTCATTTTGACCCCGTTTTGAAGGATAAATGGCGGGAATTGTCGGGACGGCTCGGACGTTAGCCACAGCCGGAACGAGGCATGCACGCGGTCGGGCGTGATTTCTTCGCACAATCGCTCGAGGGTGGGCAGCCAACTCACACTCAAGTGGCAATTTTGGAGACAGACCCAGTTGCCATTGTCAATGGCTTCCGCAATCGCGTTTTCAGCCAAAGGCCCTTGGCCTTGCCCCAACGAGATGACGACAAATTTCTTGGTGAACCCGAGCTCGGCGGCGAGCTTGAGCAGTTCCGACATGGGATCCGCACCCGGCGTCAGCACAAAGATGAGAGGCGTCGCGCATGTCGAGTCGTCATAGCCCGCTTTAAGATCGAACGGCTGCGGCTCGATGAAGCGCTGTCCGATCATACTGGCCACGAATGCCATAACACTTGGGACGACTTTGTCTGGCCGAAAGCAGCGCAGAACAATCAGCTTCTGGAACAAGTCGAACGATGCCACGGATGGAATGGTGTCGAGGTCGGCCATGGGATCGTGCGAGTTGTATGCAGCCACCCACAGCGGCAAATCCCGCACAAAGTTGTCGGAAAAATTGTGGAATGCGGGCAACCCATCCAGCCCGACAATGTCGGCCCATGTCTTGACACTGAGGATGCCGGGACTCGGATTTGGCTTGGTCGTGTCCATCGTCGTGTTGCCAGTAAAGAAGTATCGCAAGTCGCTCGCTTGAATCGTCCCGTTGCCCGTGAGAATTTTGACCGTGAGCAGAAACGCAAACAGTAACTTGTCCTTTTCAAACAACGAACGGCACACATTCACGTACAGCGTGTAGGTGAACTGGTCGTTCAAGAACATCAGCCGCTTGTTCAAGTCCGAGCTCTTCTCGGCCCGCGCAATCGAGTACACAAACAACTGGATAAACCACTCGAGAGCGTACTGGTACATGGGGTCAATCACGGACAGATCGGCAATGCAAAAGAAGAGCTGCGATGCCCGAAACGCCACGGGGGTGTACCCAGCGCGCTTTTCCGCAATGATCAACTGAGTCGCTGCCGCCTCTTGTACCTTTTCTTCGATCTTGGTGGCCGTGACTTTCGATGCGCCGAGGGTTTCAATGAGCCGTTCGTCGTTCAGGATGTTGCCTTCCGCCGTCTGCAGCATGTGCAAGATCGTGTCTTCGATCTCTTTGAGCGTTTTCTTGTTGGCGGCGTCTTCGAGCACAAGTTTTTCTCGCTGCGCTTCGAGAACAGGCTCTTCTTTGGCGACAACGATCCCGAGCATTTGATCTTGCAACCCTTCCTCGGTCGCCATAAAGTTGAGGAGGTTGACTTTGACACACGTTTCGGGGGGATAGTGCGGGTTGCGCAGCTTGGTTGTCAAGTACATGCGAAAGTTGACGTCGTACTCGACCGTGTTGTCGCCGAGACGGATGGTCAGGACGCCCCCAGCCTTGACAATTTGCTTGAGCAGCACAGGTTCCAGCATCGGGTCGATTTCCTCGGGCACGTTTTCAATCAGAAACGGGGCGCCGACCATGATCGCGTTCTCCAAAGCCCGAACGAATCCGGCTTGGGACAGCTTGACGACCTTGACGCCATTCTTGTCTTCCATGTTTTTGATCCATCGGTTCGCTTGTCCTTGGGGATCGATCATCTAGAATTACACTCAGTGGCAAGTCATCGAGTCGTTGACAAAGCACGTACGAGCGGCCATCGGTTGCTTCGTTGCATCATGATGGCGTTGTCGATCGAGAACGAGTCATTCGGGAGCTTGGCAATCGTCCATTCTCGAATCTTGACGGGGTCCCCCAGAGTGGTCGTGAGGCTGTACTTGTCTGAGCACGTAATGCCCTTGTGCTTCAATTCCACGCTCCAGTGGCTGACGGCTTTTTCGCGGAACGTCGACGTGAACGCTCCCAAGTACGCGATGACACCACTACTGAGCATGATGTCGCCGACAACGTTGTCGTACACGATTTGGAGCTTGGCGCTCATTTCTTGCCACCGGCTCCGTTCGCCGCCAAGTCCCCCGATCAATTGGTTGGCACGAATGAGCTTCTTGCTGCAGTCGTCGACTTGAAATTGCAAATCGGCCTTCTTCTTCATCGCGCCGGCCAAGTCAGCTTCAAGCCGAGCAACTTTGTCCAGGACGACTTGCAATGCGTCCTGTTTTGCTTTCAAGTTGAATTGCGCGGTTTCCAACTGCGCCGTCGCGACCTTGAGCGCCTCCCGCTTTGGAGCGACTTGTTTCGACACGCGATTGTACACAATCATGGCATGTACCCACGAACACAGTCCGGAAGCAGCGACACTCGCCTTCTTGATAATCGGCGGCGAAAAGTCCGGGTTGGTCGTGTACGGCGTCACCTTGTTTGCAGTTTCCTCTTGGATGTTGTCCTTGTCGTACTCGAGGAGGTTTTGAAGAAATCGGGTGTCGTTCAAGAGCGTCTTTTGAGCTGGGCCCCAGTAGTCGTCGACCTTTTTGTTTCCCCCGGCTGGATCCTTGACCTTGACTGGAGCTACGCCCATCATGATGCACACCTATGCATGGACAGAGCTGGTGAGGACGACGAGGAGAAGGCGTCGAATCGACGGAGCGCACCGCCTCCATAACGAGCTTGACACCATCGGGTGGTTTCTTCATCGCTTTCACTTCCGTGATGTCGCCCTTGGTCAGCGTTTGCAGCGCTTTCACGGCCATTTCGAGCGCGGGAATCGCTTCTGCAAGACCTGCCTCGCACGACGTTTTGATTTCCATCGCCGCTGCCGCTTGCTCGTTGCATTGCGCTTCTTCGGCGGCGACGACCGTTTTCGTTTCATTCGCGTCCTTTTGCTCTCGTGAAATGGTCTCGAGCAGCGCGTCCGTTTCGACCGTGGCGACTTTTAGCATCGGTTGGAGCGCTTCCAACTCGACTTGCATCTTCTCGACCTGGTCCGCGGTCTCCATGAGCTTGGTCAGCCCGTTGTCGTACCGCTTCTTCATCTGGCTCACTTCCGTTCGCTTTGTGTTGAGGAGCTTCTTGAACGTGTTGATCAACTCGAGATACGACGTTGGCGTCACGTAGTAGTGTCGACGGAGACTTTGGAGAAATTCCTTGGACATTTGGGACACGCGCTCCTGCATGTCGACGCAGACGTCGACGAGCCCAGTTTTCAAACTTGACGGCATCTCGATGTCGACCAAGAAGTGATCCGCCACGCTTCGCAGGGCTTCTTCTGGCCATTCGGTGAACCAGTCGATCGTGCAGCAATTCACCAAGGACGGAAACATCCGCAGCCGGCGTCGAAACGCATCCCCAATTGGGCTCAACGCGAGCACGACATGCAGATTCGTGCGACATCGCGACACGAAAAAGTTGTACACTTCGGCGGCGTTGCCAGTGTTGAGCCCAGCGGCACTCGCCGCGCTTTCCAAGCTTTCGTTGATCGTCATGAGCTCGTCGTTGGCCCACAAGTTGGCCACTTCCCCTGTGTTCAGGATCCCATTAATGTCTTCCAGATACCCCTCCTCGACGATCTGGGTGTCGCTGAAGAGGAACACGGTGGGCTGGTTCGCCACCCCGCTGAGCTGCAGCACCTTTTTCAAGTCGGCGCGCCAGTCCGTCCTCGAGTACGTTTTCGAAATCTCAATTTGGAACAGCTTGAAGTCGGCCATCGACACGGCCAACGTTGTGAGTGACTTGCGACCGCTGCCACCGACCCCCACCAACAACGAGTTTCCGTAAGGTTGGTGAATCACGCGGCTGATGCGCGCGACGTGCTCGATCGCGTTCTGGAACAACACGAGGCTCATCGGCGCGGACGTCATGTTATTGAAGTCGTCCAAGTACAGTGACATGGACGATTGCAGCAATTCCCGATCGCGGAGCTCGGCGTACACTTTCTTGTTGGCTTTGGCGTCGCCAAAGTTGCCATAGATGAGCACGTCATTCGGTCCCCGGACGTCTTTGATGTAGGTGAAGTTAAAATGGCGGTGCACAGTCTCCCCCAGTACTTGTTGGAACCACGTGCGGTCTGGGGCGTCGATCAATCGGTCGTGAAACACGCGAAGGCACTCGTGGCTCCACAGCCGCACAACGTCCTTGGGTTCCTTGAGCACGTCTGGCGTGCCTTGAGAAATACCTTGAAACACTTTGGACAAGTCGCGCAAGTTGAACGTGTAGTGCGACTTGGCCGGCGTCGGAAGCAGCGTCGACGAGATGCAGTCGTAAATGTCGATCGTGGCCGCGACCAACGGCGTCGTCAGCGCTTTAATGGACGCTGGAAAGTTCATGAGGAACCAGTCGCTGATCTTGGAAAAGATCAACTTCAAACTGGTCGTGTCAAACGGAACAAAGTTGATCAAGTTGAAATACCGAATGTACCGCTGGGTGATTTTGGTGCGGCCACCACCTGGAGGGCCCATCGCAGCCATGAATTGAACGTCGACGAGTTGCAGGAACGAATTGTCTTTGCGGTTGTACCAGCCACCATGGCCCATCCACTGGCGCAAGATTTCAATCGGCGGCTGGGCGCCGTACGTTTCCTTTGCAGGCATGTTTAGGTCGTCGACAAAAATCACGCAACTCATTCCCAGGGGCGGACCCAACACGCCCTTTCGTCGTTTGTCCAGTTTGCTCTCGATAATGTCCTGGGTTTGATTCGCGCTCGTCTGGGCGCTAAAATTGAGAAAGATGGACGAAAACGACTCGTTGAGCCCGGTCAAGAGCTTCTTTTTGATCGACACGGATTTGCCGGTGCCAGTGTCCCCCGTGCACATGACGTGGTAATGGTGCGTGAGCAAGGTGTCCAGGAGCCACGCGTTGCGCTCTGTATCGATCGTGGGTACCAGAATCGACGTGTACGGCATGTCGCGGGGAATGGATGACGATGAAGACGCGTCCATCCAGTTGAACCACGCGGCTTTCTTCCCGTCAAAGCGGTAGTCGTAGATCGTCCCGTCGTCTGGAAACGGGACGTTTGTCGCCCGAGGAATGACGTGGTACCCAGGGTTCTTGAGCACAAAATTCCCGTACGCTTCGTTGGTATCGGCCGAGATCGCACCCGACGTGAGCTCTCGAAAGTACACGTCAAAGAGTTGACGGGACTTGGTGTCGACACACGCGCCCAACGACCAAATGATGGCCGTGAAAAACATGCCTTCCAACACGCTGTTGATGTCGGAGCTCAAGTTTGTGGTCGGGATGTCCAAAATGCACTGGAAGAGTCGAATGAGCGACGCCACTAGCTCCAAGAACGTCACAGGAGTGGGCACAACGCAGTTTTTATCCACGAAGAAGAGCAGCGGCGGCACGAGCCACTCGAATAGATTTTGAATGTATGTTGCGTTTGGGCGAAGCTCTTGAGCGAGGGTGTACTCCAACCTGCGTGCGGACACGTTGAGACAGAATGTCGAGAGTAGGCAATGCGGTCGTCGTACCATGTCTTCATGAGGGTTTCCCACCCGAGGTTCTTGGGCTCGAGGAAGATCATCCCGACGCGACTCACTGTCGCCGGAGACGCCTCTTCGAGGTCTTCGGTCTCGAACATCATTGTCATGCGGTCCGTCATTTTCACGATTTCCCCGCTCATCAAGCACAGCTTTTTGTTGTCATCCAGGACGGTGTTCATGTTTTCGATCCAGACGGCGTCGACAGGACCATCAAACATGACCCATTGTCGATCGTCCGTGGTGTCCCGCGCACAGTCGCGGTACGTCTTGGCCAGGACGCCGTCGCTCCATTCGTGCGTGTTTTCGTCAAAGTTCCCGTACAGTTGACCCGACGTGATCGACTTGGGGTTCATCGTGTGGATGTGGACGAGCGATTGATTCTTGCCCTCGCTTTCGTTGTAGACGGCGGTAATGGCAGCGGCCAATGTGTGAACAATGCACGTCTTTCCACTGCCAGTGATGCCGACCACCATGAGTCCGTGGCGCACCAACACCTATCGCGCATCCATCGGTCGGCATGTCGTGGCGCGTTCGTTCCTGTCATACCGTTTCATAAAGCTGGACCACCTTTTGCTTGAATTCTATCTTGGGTTGCAGCCTCGTGAGGGTGTCGGGGGCGATGCTGATGCCTTGCGTGCACATGAGATCAATCATAGGAATCAATCGGCCGTGGTCGGGGGAAGGAATGTCCGCGCCTGGAAACAAGTCGGACGTGATGCCACGAAAGAGAGGCAAGTCATCCGTCGTGAACTTGGGTAAGTTGACGTCTTGGACCGAGCTACATCCTCCGGTCGTAAAAGAACTCGGTCGTCGACTTGGCGACGTACCGCAACACGATTTTGTCTTCGGTCCAGAACGGGTCGTCGCCCAATTGCTGGCGCAAGTTTCCGGCCGCGACAAGAATCGAATTGACGGCACGCATGCCGTAGTCGTAGTGCTTTTGCGAACTCAGTTGCTCGGAACTCAATTGCAACACTTGGGTCAACTTTCGCGCATTGGCACGCGCGTTGGCAAAACCGAACGAGTACAGGCGGATCTCCGAAATTAGAGCGTAGTCTGGCACCATCATAGCACACGGGCGAAAGAGCGCCTTCAAGTTGTCCGGCAACTCGGCACGACCAGCGTACCCTAGTCGACACGGGCGGCGTTGTATCACACTGGCGACGTCAGTTTCTCCATGGATTCACGTACCAGGATTCATCGTGATGAACACGTTGGCGCTTGCGTTTAGTTTGATGTACGTGCCTTCAAACATAAACTTGTCCACGTTGGCCTTCTTCCCTTCGTTGATGGTCAGGATTTGCTGGGCAATGACAGACAACACTTCGATGTTGATCCGATTGAATTCGTCAAAGCAGCACCACGAGCCGCATCCTGCCAGGCCTTTGAAGAACTTGGCCATCGCCAAGTAATCGAGCCCGTCCGAGCAGTTGAATACGACGCACTGGATCGCTATGGCTTTCGAGAGATCCTTGACCGTTTCCGTTTTGCCTGTCCCGGCCGGGCCTTCCGGGGCACCGCCGTACAACAAGTCGATCGCGCCCATCATCGTGCGGTAGCACCGATCGGTCAGCGGCGTGATCACCAGTCGCATCGTGTTGCCAAGGTACTCGTAGCCGTACTTGACTCGCGCGTTGACGATACGAGCTTGGAGGTCCATTTCGCCCTTTGTCTTGGCACCTTCGATCCAGTAGTACCGAAGCTGGGATATCCACTCAAAGTCCTGGTCGTTCTCAACGCCTTTTTGAATCATGTGCGCAATTGTGTCGCGGGCGTGCACGTCAATCACAACCAATGCGCCGATGGTGGTCCGTTCAAGTTTTGTGAGGTTGCCGCGGACCAACATGACGACCTTGTCCAGCTGCGAGTTGAGCACCTCGACGTACTCTTTCAGGCCTTCGTTTCCCTTGTCCACGATCGCTTTGTTGACGTCTTGCGTCCAGTACACTTGCGACGCGCCGAGCACGATTTGGGCGGGCCACTTGAGAATCCACTCTTCTCGGACTTCGTTCGGGTACGTCCCAATGGCACGCATGGTGTGGTCACGGATCGTGTCCCACTGATACACCTCGAGCTCGAGCAGCCACATCTCGACGTTGCCTTTGGTCTTGGCGCTTTCCGGGTTGACAGTGTTCTTGAGCAGCACCGTCTCGCCTTGGCTTGAAATCATCTCCGTGATGAGCAGCACATTCGTGAACGTGACTTTGTTGATCCCTTCAAAGCATTTGCCTAAATGGGGCTGCACTGCCTTGGGTTCCTTCGTCTGGCTCAAGATCTCGAGAAGCTCGTCATTCGACAAGAAGAAGAACCGAGGAAAGTACAGTCGCTTCATTTCCAAGTAGTCGTTCAGGCCCTTTTGAATCTCGTCGAGCTTTTCGTTGGCCTTTTGGAACTTTTGGAGCAACTTGTCCATGTTCATCACGTTCATAAAGTTTGGGTCCGCGACTGTGTCCTCCATCGTTTTCCGCCACAACGCGTCCACGGACGCAAATCGCCGTGCTTCCGTTGGCATTTGCCGCATGATGTCCTCGGAACTACACACGGCTCACGTGAGACTCAAAAGGACACACGAGAGAATGGAACCTGAAGATCGCTTCCAGGTACAACCACGTGCGCTGGCACGTCATCCACTCGTCAATGAGCTGTTGCGAGTACTGCAGCTTCTTTTCCCACGCTTTGCACTCCTTTTCAATGTTCTTGACGTAGGGCGACCCCCGCATCGTCTGCGTTTTGACAATGTGGTCGTCCAGGAGAGCAATGATGTCGTCGACGCTTTTGATCAAGTACGTGCCAGTCTCACGGTATGGGAGGCACTCAAACTCGATCGGCTCCCACTCGCTGATCATGGCGCTGAGGTTCTTTTCCAATGTGTACTCTTTCTCGGCGACCATGCTCACTTCTTGAATCGTTTCAATGTGCTGCGTGATGCCTTTGTCCAGGAGCTGGTTCAACGTGAGTTCTTCGTCCGTTTCTTCCAGGCCAATTTTGTTGCGCAGGAGTTCCCAATGGCGCTCGCGCAAGGCCGGACTCGCTAGCGACTGAATCACGGGCAAATACAACCGAAATTCGTCCGTGCGTTCGCGTAAGATGAGCGCGACTTCGGCGGACCCTGGCGCCTCGTCGGCCAATTGTTTGCTCAACTTGTAGCTGGCTTTCCACCACTCGGTCACGTTGGTGTCAATCTCGGGCCCCTTGAGCTCCAGGAAGGGTCCGGTCAGCCACGCCTGCTTGCTAATGTTGAATTCGGAGCACATGGTCCAGAGGCGGTAGTACGGCTGAAAGTCCGTTTCCAACTTTCCAATCATGGCGTATTCGGTGGGGCGGAACCCAAACACGGCTTCGCGCTGATTGAAGTTGTCCGCTTTGGCCTTGGCTTCCATGATCGAGTCGTACAACGTGGACGCGATTTCCACGTACTTTTCCGTGCGGTCGATCTCACCGTACGTTTTGAACAACGCCACTTCCTTTTCGTACCTCTCTAGGTCCAATTCGAATTGTTCCTTCTCCAGCGCAAGTTTGTCCATCATGCGAAGCTTGTCCTCCTCGAGCGCCGAGTCGCACGTGTCGGCGGCATGCGCCACCCGCAACGGCCATTCCTTCGTGCTCCATGCCAACCGAAAGTCGTCGTCCGATATGGTGTGCGAAAACTCGCCGAGCGCGTTCAGCCTGGCGTGGATCTCGTCAACTTCTTTCTGGATGCCAGCAATCGTAATCTTGCTTGCGTTGACAAAGTCCTTGAGCGCGGCCAACTCGGCTTCGTTGGTCGGTTTCTCCGTGATTCGTTTCAAGATGGCCTGGTACCGTCGGCTGATTTCGACGTTCTTGTCGCGGGCGTCGAGCACAATGTACTCAATCAAGGCGTTGCGGATGGCAATGCTCTTCTCTCGCAACGTGGCTTTGATTCCGATCGTGTTGACGCACACGAGTGGAAATGACGTTTGGTCAAAGCTGAGTGTTTCAACTTCGAGCACGAGTGAATGGAACTGGCGAATTGCGTCGCACAGAATGTCCAACGGGACCGGGGCCGGGTGATCTTTCTTGAACTGCTTCATGTACGTGGCCGCGTCCATGCCAAGCAGTCGGGCATGTTTGGCGTATGCGTCCGTGATGGGCTGAACCTGTGCGAGGGAGTCGCCAAGGCACTTGAGGATGTCACGGCGCGCAGTGCCCAGTTTCGACACGGTTTCTACCGCGAACATTGATGTCTGGCCAAGGTTTTGAAGGCGGTCGCTTACCGTAGACGATGTCGTTTTTGACGGTCAGGTCGAACAGCTTGACGCGATCCAGATTCAAGAGCGAGAGCAAGTCGTGGTCGATGACCTCCATCTCACTCACGTTGTGCACCATCGTTTCGAGCGGCGTGAGCATAGCCGCCTTGATGTCGTTCTGCGACGGATTCATCTCGACGTCGCCGTCGCTCGTTACGACCAAGTGCACGTCAAACAACGACGTGACCGGGCTGTTGGTCTTGACTTTGGCATGCACGAGCTTGACCCAGGCTTCCGTCGACTGCTCGACAACCACGCGAATTTGAGACGCCATGCGGACGCGAATGCTCATGAGGAGCCGCTTGAGCTCCCCAACTTCGTACTCGTCGCGGTCTGAAATGAAGAAATCGTATTCGTCTTGCAAGCTGTCGACCAAATTTTCCGATATTGCACGTCGCCAGTCCTATGCACTCTATCAGATCCACACGACTCTCGTAGCAATGTCGGCGGTCCATGGCTGGCGTACCACCGAGAGCATTTCCGTGATCTTGGCGCAGTGGGCGACCTGAATCTCGGAAAAATCGAGCAGGCGGCACGGCAACTGCAGCGCGTCAAACGTGGTCGCGCAGAACGTCAGATGAATGAACGCACTCTCCCATCCGTGGTAAACCTTCATGAGGACGTTGAGGAACCCAGCGGATGCGGTGTAGTGCTTGGTAGCAATTTTCTTGCGGAACCTGGGGAATCCGATGGTGTCGGGGATTTGGATTTTGCCAAACTCGGGGATGGCCGGCGGCAACGGCACGGGGGTCAAGTTGAGCGACTTGTACTTTTCCAGGAGTTGCTTGTCAAAAGTGAGACGATACCACAGCACGGCTTTCTTCATCGTGCGAGTGTACTCGCGGATGACGACGTCGGTGAGGTTGCGAAGCAGCTGGGCATGCGTTTCTTCGACGACAACGTCGGGCATGAGGCCGTCGACGACGCGGCGGTGGATTCCTTCCAGCGTTGTGCGGCCCATCGCCCTTGGTTCCATGACGGACTGCTGCGCTACAAAGTAGTCAAAACGCATGTGCGCTTTGGCATCTTCGCGCCGCCGAATGGCTTCGTCGATCCGGTTTTGAAATGCCGTTGGCTCCTCCTGCAATCGACGGTGCCACGTTGAGCAGGAGGTTGGTCATACGAATTGGCATACCGTGTCGAATCGCAAGTTGATACGGCGGACGGTCTTGTCTTTGTCGGACCCCTGAAACTGAATTGTGTACTTTTCCGTGTCTGGATTGTACGACAGAATGAGGCACGGTCGCCAGCGCCACTCGCCCTTGACAAAGTATGGTGACGCCCCGGTTTTGCACTCTTTGAGCAGTTCTTCGGGGGACTTGGTGTCGTACTCGGAGCTGTCAAACTGATGGAGCGGAAGCTTGGACTGGTCGAGTTTTAGGTATTCGTCCAAATCGGCGTTCGATTCCCTGTTCAAACCGTTCGTGGTTGGAGTTGTCGTGCATTACCAAGGTCGACAACTTTACCGTTCTTTCTTCGCCGCGGACGAAGCATAATCGTCAATTGCAGCCAACATGTCGGCGTCGCGATCTCGAATGGGTGCAGTGGTGTACACCTTACCAGGAAATGGCCGAATCGGTTCCGGTCCCATGAGAACTTTGGTGTGCTCTCGGTGCTTGAGCTCTTGCTCGAGCACGGCGGCATCTTTCCACTTGTGCGGCATGTTTTTATGGTCGACATGCGAATCCTTTCGTCGGCTGGCGTTGGCTTTAATCGTGTCGTGCTTGGCCTTGGCTTCCTTGCGTAAGCGCTTGTGCAGTTTGAATCGCTGTTCGAGCATCAGCCTTGCCTGTTCGGCTTCGTCCTCTGGCGTCGGCGTGTTTGCCATGCTGTCCAAGCTCTCAACCGGTCCTGCATCCTCGATGCCCAGGCTATCGCGGTCGCTCTCCATGCCAGCACGCAGTCGCACAGGGCCTTTCCGTTTCTTCCCAAGTGACCTTTCGATTTGGATACGCCACGATGCGATCTGATTGGGCCTCCGTGTAACTGCTGGATTCAGAGAGGCGCACGGCGCTTGACCATGTTACTCTCAATCCGCCACCTCGGATGAGGAGGTCCGACGTGGCGCGGCCACAATGCTGTGGACTCACGAGACTGGTAGGGAGAATGAGAGGGAGGGATTCACGGAGTACACGCTGTACTCGCGACAGAGCCAGTAGTGGTACCGTCCGCGCAATCCCGCAAAACCTCGGGATGGTATCATGTCTTTGTGCATGGTGGTGTGAGATTTTTCAAGCACGGTTGCAAGGCAGTGTTGAGCTGGCTACAGTTGGGATGGACAAGCAATGGTGGGCAAGAATGGTCGTCCTGGTTGAGCTCCCATGGCTTGACACAAGGAAAAGGTTGTATTTTACCATTGTAGCCTCACGGGGGAGGGTCGTGGGGCGGTTCTCGTTTGTAAAACTCATGCGACCGGCCTCCCTGTGCCCTCCCACCGCTCTTGTCGAGGCGTACGTGGGTTGGAGGTAACGTGCTGCCGCAAGAGGGCAGCCTTCCGATTGGGTGTGCAACGGAGCTGAATGGACCGGCTGTGCATTTCCCAAACTTGGAGTACGAGACCGTCGCAGGCACTTCGTGCGCGCGGAGCTTGCTTTGATAGAACGCACGTACCCCGTTTGCACAACATGATGCCTCGCGCAGATTCCATTCTTTCGACTCGATCGAAGAGTCGAGACACATCCATGTCGTCGGTCTTTCTCGTACGGCGGCACAGCATCGATCGGCAAGTTGCCATCGTCGTGGTGTGGGCGCATACTTCGGGGTCGCAAAGTAATACGTAAACTCCGCTTGCTTGGCGCAGAAGCGTCCTGCTAATGCGTGGCCCATGGAATCTAGTCAGAAAGACTCGGAGCGCGGCAAGGGTGTTGGGTCTCCGGAGTCCAGCGCCCACCCACTCACCATGTCGCTGAGGATAGTTGCTCTTCGAACATTCGCTTCCTTTGTCGCACTTACAGGAATTGTAACTGTTCTCCAACTGGTTGTAAGACAAATCCCTGTCATTTTCAAATCCGTGTCGCCATGGGCCCGAACGATGTGCTGTCGACGCTGCGGCGAACGTTGCAGGCGCCAGCGGTCTTTACCTCGAGCGTGCGCAAGCTCGTCAAGTCCAAGGACCTGTCGTCCCTCGACGCTGTCCTGGCGTCGATCCAAGTCGCCGATGACTGCGACGCGCTCCTCCTTCTGTGGCAGTTCCTTCTCGACAATATCTTCCCGGTGCACCCGGAACGCCGCGTGGAAGAAGTTGCGATGCAGCGCTGTCTCGTGGCGCTCCTCGAACGCCCAGAAATCACGTCCAACTCGTCCCGCAAAGTCGACGCCCTCACGTCAGCCACCCTCCACCTCGCCGCCCGGTTGAACGCCCATCCAAAAAAACTCGACGACCTGGACTCGCGCCGCGTCGACACTCAATTTTGCACCCGGTTGCTCGCCTTTGCATACCTTCAACAAGAAACTGTACGGCAGCACGTCGTGTCCAAACTGGCCCAAGTTACGCGGCATCGCGACTGGTTTAAAAAGCCCGTCGCTCCTGCAGGCAGCGCGTTCCCGCACTGGGTGTCGTCGCTAATGCCTATCACAGTACAAAGCACGGACGTGACCACGTTCGAGCAAGCGTTGCTGCATTGGCTGACAGTCGAGACCCCCGTAGACGACAAACCGCTCGTGCATCACAGCCCCGACGAGGCCTTGCTGTTTACATCGCTCGTCGACAGCGGCGAGTGCTTCTTTACGTTTGTCACAAGCTTGATTCAGTGGCGAGAAAAGGACGCCATCACGAACGACCAGTGGGCTGCTTCCATCCCGCACTACGACACTCTCATCACGGTTGCGCTCCGCCTCCTCCACGAAGCTGCATACAAGCGGCAATTTTACGACTTTTCAGCCCCGAAGTATTCGACGCTCATCCTGAACCGCGCCAACCAAGACGCTGTGCTCAGCCTTAGCAGCCACCTCCTCAAGAATGTCGACCTCGTGCACATTTGCGTCCTCGCTTTGTTTGAGTCGACCAACCTCGCCAACCCGAAGAGCGTCGGGTTGTGCCTCGACAGACTCGCGGAATGGATTGCGACTACTGGCATCGTGTGGCTGTCTTCGATCAAGTCGTCGCCGGCCGAGTTCAACTGGACCGTGGCGATTCGATTACTCTTGCATTGTGAGCAAGCTGAAGTCGTGATGCGGACTCTTCACTTTCTGTACAAAGTGCTGGGGCTGCTGCCGTGGGAGCTTCGGCATCGCCTCTTGCGTACACTTGCGCAACGGCACTTTGCCTTGTTCTTGCACTGGCACCGCGACGTCCGGCTCATGTACCACCACATCCTCGTGTATAAGATTTGTCCGCAGGTGCACCGCGCCGTCCTCGACAGCGCAACGGACGCCTTGTTGATGCGGTCCGATCTGCCCTCGATTAGCGACGCCGACGACATGGCTCGAATCGCTTCTACGAACAAGAGCAACACAACTATCGCTCGCGAAGTCCAAGTGTGGCGCAACTTTGACGGGTTGATTGCGCTCGTGTGCTTTATGGAGCGCGCACGTGCAGTGGAGGCCAACAAAGACCACAAACGCGACGTCGAGTTTGCACAAAACCGCGTCAACCAACTGGCAAAGCTCGTGGCTGTTGACGATATCACGGCACGGGCGAGCGATGATTCAGCGTCCGAACTCGACAAGCGGCCAGCTTCGTTTGCGTTCGACCAGGCCCGGTCCGACTTGGACTTGATCATCACGTCCGAGCGGCTCACGCTAACTAGGCTTTCCCGCGCGCCACCACACTTACGCCACATATCGGATGACGAAGTGCAGCACCTCGAGTCGGTCGTTCGCGCTGTATGCCCGTCAGACATTGACGCCTTGTACCCCAAAGAGCTCCAAGTGTACGCACGGAAATCGCTCACGTGCTACTTGACCGTCCTGCAAAAGTATTACGCGGCGTGCGCGGTGGATGCCGCCGGCGACGTGATGTTGAACCACTTGCCTGTGTCCCCATCCCTTGAATAGTCGTGCGCTCGTTGTACAATACCACTGTCTTTGCGCTTTTGAGTGGCTCATGAGGATCGAGTTTTTTCTACCTTAGGCATCCTGCGTCGATCGCAGCAAACACAAGCGAGGTGTTGCATGCTGCGCTCGCTTTCTTTGCTTGACGGACCAATCTGCCCTGTAATTTCACGCACGTGCTATGGATTACTTGTATGTGCCTACTTCATTCGAACGACGGCGTCAATGACTTGGCCGACGTTGTCGAAGGCAGTTGACGGCGTGGCGTGGTCGTACATGTACGCTGGCGCAGATACGATCTTGTTGGTTGTGTCCACGTGCACCTGGTCGAAGTCTTTTTCGACGATCTTGCCCCCCCACGACTCGACAGCGCTGGCCGCGTCTGGTCCCGACGACCACTTGGCGCCACTTCGGCGCCCCATCGTCAGTTCGGCGCCTGGAAAGAGCTTGCCGCCAAGGACGGGTGCAATGCAAATCAATCCGATGGGTTTCTTGGCGGCATGGAACGCCGTCAAGGTGGTGGCGACCTGTGGTTGCACTTGCATGTTTTCGCCGTCAAACGCGAACGAGCTCAAGTTCTTGGCTACCCCAAAACCACCGGGGACTACAACGGCGTCGAACTGGTTCACGTCCAAGAGGTCCAGCTTCTCCACCTTGCCACGTGCAATGCGAGCTGCCTCGACGAGTACGTTGCGCGATTCCTCGGTCATCACGTCGCCCGTGAGATGGTTGATCACATGGTACTGGTCCATATTCGGTGCAAACACGCGCACGTCAGCATTGGCCTTGCTCAAGTGAATCAAGGCACTGACAGCTTCTTGGATCTCGCTGCCGTCGTAGACGCCAGACCCACTCAAGACGACCGCGACACGACGGCTCGGCGGAGCTTCGGCGCTCGTCCCAGCAGTCAGAGCATTGGTCACGGCTGGCTTGAAACGAGACATGGCATGGCGCACGAACGGCACGGCAGCGACGCCAACGGCCATGACGCCGCCTAAGACGACCGCCCGTTTGAGCATCCTTCTGCGACCTTCGTGCCAGTGATGGCGGTGGCACCAGACGATATCCGGACAGCCAGCAAGATTGGATGGGGACATTCAATGTCATTATCCGGATAACTCCTCCTGAAGCTCAACGCCGAGGGTGCGCATTTGCGATGCGCTCGCGGCGTGCCACTGCATGATTCACGCCATCTTCAGACGCACACGCTGCGAAGGCACATCTGGGTGCAGTTGTAATACAACACTCGCGCCATCGTCCCTGTCTCGCATGTGCTCCATGCTTGAAATGGCCCTAATGCCATGCATTGTCATGCACGACCGGATGAAGCACGTTGAACAGAGACGGACCGAGGCATGCCAGACTTGTCGGCTGAACATCAAACCCTACAACTACTAATGAGTGCATGAATGCACGGGGAGAGCGCGGTCAACCTGCAGGACACGGCGGCATGTTGACAACCCCTGCAGCTACATGGCAACCACATGGCCCAGCACACGCCACGGTTTGCTGGGAGCTCTGCTCGACGCAGAACCGCGTACGAACTCTCCAATGCACACGCCATGTCGGCAGTTCGACCAGTCGATTTGGCGTGACCAAGTGAAATCCCACATGGACGTCGACGGGCGCGTCAAAGTACATCGCGGATTGGACCTTTGTTCCAGTCTGAGCCAAAGGAGCACGTAGGACGCATCGTGTGCGATCCTTACCTGGATGTCCAACACGTTGGTCGGTTCGACTGGAACTTGCAACGTAAACGCAGAGATGCCCAGCGCGGAGTTTCGAATTCCCGCCGTCCCATGTGTCGTTAAGCAGCAGTCTGAGCACCCTGCGTGTTGCTGGCCATACAACGATCCCACGCGGCCTTGGGCTGGCGCACACTCTGGGCCTCCGATGATTTTGGCTTGGAGAGGGTACGCGACTCTGTCAAGGCGACCCAGATTCAACCGAGTGGTGTACAAGCCCCCGAGTTCGGGGGCCAGAGTTTCCACGAGCTGGACTGGCGTGTCTAGTGGTCGCACTAGCAACCGAGAAAGGGCACCATCTAAAAAACACGCTATCACATGCCGATCTCATGGAGGACGACGGACGCACCCGCATTCGCATTGGCATTGCTATAGCTCACGCCCCCTGTGGGAATCGCGAACACTAGGTTGCCGTACACAGTAGTTTGGCTCGTCCCGACGACGAGGACAGCTGCACTCTGCCGCGTGACGAGACCGTAATCGTGCATTTGATTGTACGAGACGATGGCCCGCCGTGAATGGAGAAACTGCCTAGCGTGGGTTGGGTCGTGGGGGGCCACCGATTTGGCCACAATGGCGACCGCGGTCGCTCCAATTTGTGTGAAGTGGTTGAGTACAACGTGGATGCGCTCGGTGCGTCCAGACACAAAAATCGCATTCCCACCCAACTACAAAAGAGCGTCGATGCCGGGAGACTGCGACAACACGAGCGCATCGTACATACTTTCGAAAACGTGCAATGCTCGACACGAACGTCCTGGGCGCTTTCAATGTAGATGGCACCGACGCTACCATGGCCGCCGCGTACGGTTCAAAAAAAGTGGCTTGTCCGCCCAGCGATGCACGTACCGCGTTTGGGTCCACGGATGGCCTGGTAGCGTCTCGTCTAGGAGGATTCATGTCGGCCTTGGATACGTTGGCCCGTTCGATGCAAGTTGTACGTACAGAGTTCCATGTCGGTGCGCTGGGTACCCGTGAACTCTAGCCCGTCAAACTCCAAGTTGGACGCCCAAAGCGCTTGCGAGGCAGGGTGTGCTGTCTCTGTCTCGGCAGCCGTCACCATCGTGTCACGGCTGGGCTCCGAATATCCCACGTCGATACCGGGGGTCCCCCGCACTCGGACTAGCTGCTTGAGCCGAGGAAATTCTATTGTGGCTTCAGTAGGAATGACACCGCGTGGCGGTATCATGTATAGCTCGGACGTGGTCGTGTCGTAGTACTGTCAGAATGGTCACGTGAAACACGCACGTCTGTGAAGTCAGGTAGCAGTACCCATTCGCCTGGCGCATCCAGCTACAGATGATGAGCTGAGGCGGAGACACGTCGACACCATGCCATCGCTCCCACCTCCTCAAACACGTTTTCGACTCGAAATCCGTTCACGGAAGCCCAAGCAGGCCCACCAAAGTATTCGTCGCCGTTCATTTGGCCTAGCGCATCGTGTCGACATAGATGGTTGCCGTGGAGTTGGGGATACCGCCTCCAGCGTCCAAGTCGATGGTGGTCGGGCTCATGCGGTAAATCCCGTGGCGAGTGTTGCCTCCGCCTGCTCGGACAAGGTCGACTTGGGCCGATGCCAAGTTGGTCCAGTGGCTCGATTTTTGTGACAGCGTTGTCGCGTTGTACACCAAGATGCGCCCCGTCGACGTCGACTTGACCACTGGAGCGTACTGCGGAGTCCACGTCGTGTCGTTGCTCGACTAGAAGGCGCGTTTAGACTGAAAGCAGTAGTTGGTTTCGAACGGGTCAACGTACAAAGAGAACATTGGGAGCGCTCGCTCGAGGTAGTCGCATGCCGTTCAGGTACAGCTCGGACGGCGGATCCACCATTGCAAGCGTACTCAAGCTGACGACATAGATTGGAGCTTGCGGCTGGTGCCACGTGGGCGGCGGCGTGTACGGCGTCCACGACCCGTTCACGATGCTGTGCATGCTCGAGATGGTCACCTATCCCAGTGGCCATGAGCCCTCGACCGCCATGTCACGAGTGGCGACCTTGTCGCATGTTGTGCACGACACCGAGCATGTTTCGACACACTCTTCTTCCTTGGTCAGATCCTGGCACAGGGCGTCAAGCCCGTCTGTGTGAACACGTTGGTTTCGGTCGTACGCGCCCAAACAAAAGGAGAAATTCGCGGCACACAGCGTCCGAGTACACGCGCTTGTCGACGTTGCGCTGGCACGCACGCATGCAATTTTGGACACACGGCGCCATCGTGGAGGAATAGCACGTGTGTCCGACGCCGACTTTGTCGACGCACGTGTCGGTGGAGCCGGACCAAGCGGGTTTGGGCGGCAGGGTCCGGTTTTGTGGATTCACGCCCAACTGGAGGAGGGGATCGTCGGGGCCGTGCCACGATGATGCGTTGCCCATACCGTTCCACAAGTACCTGAAAGGACTTGTTATGCAGCGCACGTATGGTTGTACGACAGCTTACTGACCGCAGAGGTGTCGACGCCCCCATCACATACGGGAACGGTGAGATCGACACGTCGGATGGGTGGAGAGGATCGCAGTACGGCTTGTACGAAACGGGGCTGGCCGGCGAGAGGCCACTGTCTTGCGGACCAAAGTCCAACGTGGACGAAAGCACATACGTTCCGCCACGCAAAATGACATCGATGGGGGCTGCCGTGTTGGTGGCACGTTGCCGATCGAGGAGCGTTCGCACAGCGGCTTGCGCTCGAGGAATGGTCTTGAAGGGGGCGTCGAGGCTGCCGTTTAAAGACGCATCATCACCTCCCACCGGGTCCACGTAAATCTGGCTGAATGCCACACTCGCCGCGGCCACGGCAGGGAAAACCGTCCGCCTCATCGCCCTGCTTCTGGGGAAGTGCCCTTGTCTCGGAGTTACACGAGGTGGTCTGAAACCGGCCAAATGGCTGTAGTCACGTATTTTTGGTGTCGCTGTGCGTCGTTGTGGACATCGAGCTACGATGAATAGATCGGGCGGCGAGGCGCTCCACTGCTTTTGGAACGAGACTGTCGGGTCGTGTCACAAGAGCGACTGGAGCGCTTGCGGCTACGACTGGCTCGCCAAAGTTCCCGTCGGCCTTGTGTGGCTCGTCTGGTTCTTTGCTGGCACGTACGCACTGAGTCAATTTGGCACGCTCAAGTTTGACACGTCTATTCACGACCCCCTTGGCCAAGGTCAGCTCGCGTGATTCATGTCATGTCTTGAGCTAGCGTGTGTGTGTCGCAGGGATTGCAATCGCCTTGTCCCAGCGCAAATCGACGTCCGTGAGGCGGCCATGGCTGCTGCGCTACATCAAACTGTGTGCGATTTGGGCCGAGTGGCCGACGTTTACTTTTACCCCCCTCACGATCGCGTTCAAAATCTCAAAAGAAGAAAGCGCGTTGCGACTATTGAACTTGAATGTCGACGAGGCGCTCGAGGTATCCCGACGTGCTTTGACCATGAGACTCAAGCCCCGTGTCTGGTCTAGGTATTTGGAGTCGTCCTCGTGGCATGCTGCGGCGTCGGTATTGTCGTCCTGCGGAACTGGAAAAAGAACGTGTCAGGTACGATAACAACGATCCCATGGCGACACCATGCACGGACAATTGGAGCAGGTGAAGCCATCTTGAAGAAAACGCTGTACCCCATCACATTCGACCTCTTCTTCATTCCCACGACGACCCTCCTCGCGCGTATTGGAACGTGTCCGGAAGGGTTTGCCCACATCGCCCTGCCCAGCGGCGCCAGCTGCGAATGCGTCAACACGTTTGCCGTGTTTTGGGTACGTGCGTTCGTTGCTTCTTGTTCTAACCGCGAAGCCAAGGCAATCGGGTTCGGTGGGTTTCTCGTCCTGTACTGCAGCGCCATGTACTACAAGATGCACATTGAACCGCATGGGACCACGATGGATTTTCGATTCCAAACGAGCTTCCAGATCATGATGGCCATGGCTCGTACAGGTCCCCCACCACGCCGCGCTGGCCATCCAAACTTGCTCACGTGGTATATCTGTCGTGCGGTTGTAGTGAACCCGATCGTGTCGATCCTGGTCATCCTGCTGAATGTGCACATCTACCCTGCCCGAGCCACGCCGATCGCGTGCGCGTTCCTCATCATGGTCACGTACCTCCTCATCTACTCGTACAAAACCCAACCGGTGCGTCCACCCGATGCCTCGGCCCTTTTGATTTCGCGACAACTAGTGCATTGGCAGCGGCCGCGTCCCCAACAACATTCGTGTCGTGAGCTTTTCCAGCTCTGTGTACTCGAGCGTGTGTGTGTTTGTGTTTTGTGTGACGGGGTCGTCCATCACGTCGCTGTACTACTCGCTCGTGCCGTTGCCTCTCGTGTGGCTGACCGCGTGGACGATCAACGACCGCCGTGCCAAGCTCTTTTACATCCCGTACCGGCCGATTGTCGACCTCTTGGTCATGTCGGAGGCCCGACCCCAGCTGGCGGGGGTCATCGCAGCACTGTATGTCGACCCGATGAAGATTCACGCCAAGGACTACACCCTGATCGTCGCGCGGCTCTACGCGATTGCTCGATCCAGCGACGCCGAGCCACAGAGCAGGATGCACGCGCTCCGAACGCTGTGGTTCCTCCACTGCAAAGTACCCGACGCACGTCCGCGACGTTGTTGACTCGCGTGTGTCTGGGTAGAACTTTCGAAAGACCAAAGGTCAATTTGGCGAGCCGGAAGACGAAATGCTCACGCTGCCTCCCAAGTTGTGGCTCAAGGACCGCGAAAACCCCGACAGGATTCAGTGGACAAAGGCTGGGATGGCCAAAACGGGAGGCGCGCTCTCCAACAAGCAGACACAAGTCAAGATCGCTCGCATCGATCAACTCAGCGGTACGTTGGCTCTCGTCGCTCACGCTCGTCCACGGCTCGGGTGTGCCCTTAGATGTTCGCCAAGACGACGTGGTCGCACCCGAGCTAGCACACTTTGCAGCAATGTCCAAAGCGTCGGGACGAAGCGGCCGCTTATCACGAACAGTCGGGACCAGCGTTCCTCCAGACTCGACACCTCGAGTCGAGTCAACCCACAGTGCCACTCATGCCATGGAGGATGGCACAGCTGGGGAGACTCCAGCCTTCATCCGACCGCCGCGCACCCGATCGATTGCCGTCCCGTCGTCCGCGAGGTCATCGTTCGTCACGTCGACGGAGTTGGGAGTCATTCGGATCCGAGACAAACAGTGGCTGTCGCGAAATGAAGACTCTGTCGAAGCGGTGCAGCACTGCGACGAATTGTTTCGTCTGGCGAAGGAAGTCATGGTCACATGCACCACGATCGCCGACAAGCCTGCCATGTTTGAAGCGGCCATGTACCTCTTGCAGCTGTACCAAGCGCGGTACCTTCGACTGAACAAAGTCACGTACGTGCGCATTGTGAGCAGCTTGTGCGCGACAGATCACATGAAAACCGCCATCGATGCTGTCCACACATTGTACAAATTGGTTCTCGATGCCGTGCTCGCACCCGAGCTGTGGCTCCGCACGTCGTCGTCCCTCGATCTCCTCTTGTGTGCCATGGACCACCCGAGCACGCTTACCGTCGCCAAGTGTGTGATTGTCGCCAAAGCAATCCTCGTGGCTGCCGAGGCGGACGTGCGGATGAATCTGTTTTCGCTTCTCACGCCAGCGTCCATCGCGCGGCTCCGCAGTGCGTTCTTGGATTACCACGCAAACTACCAGATCAGCACAACGCTCGAGGACATTTGCGCCGGCTTGCACCGCATGGAGCTCCAACGCGGGGCCAAACATCGCGACGACCTGCAACGACGAGTTGCAGCGTCGTCGTTGATGCGCAACCTGACCCAGTCCATCGCCAAATCGACCGTGTCCGTCGGTATTGAACGGTCCATGCCGTCGCGACGCCTGAGTCTTCGAGTGTCGCCCGTGGACCCGCTCGTGACGACCACCCTCCAGCAAATGCCGACCCGCGACGGCGGTGCAAACGCTGCGTCCGTACGAGTGCACGACATGGATGGGGGAAGTGCTCGCGACCTGCAGAAGATAGCCGTGAACGTCCCCACCACCGTGCCACACGGTCGACCGGTGCACGTGACGGGAATGGGCCATGGCGCGTCGGGTGGAGGCAAGATCCAGTACTTGTTTGTCCAAGCGGACGTGATCGAGGAGATTCATCGACGCCGAACCGTTCGTGCCCAGTTTGAACAAGCTCTGATGCGAGCATACCACATCTACAACGAGGGGCGATCGGCCGCGACAGTCGCGGCCCCGACCGACCAGGCAGCAACACCGACTTCGTCGACCATGTCAAGGAAGGAGTTGCCTGCGAGTTTTAGCGAGATCATGGAACTGTATGCGGTGCCAGGGTGTGCGCTGGAGGGGATGCTGGCGTCCGTGGTGGAGCCGCACATGAAGCAGTTCTTCGAGAGCCAAGTGATGCCGTTCATGATCATACGATAATTCAACAAGTACACCATGTCGACATGACTTCGTTGCGTTCGGCAGACGGGGCGTCCACGGCACCTAGTCCTTCTTGTAATAGCCCGGCTCGACGAACGGCATCTTGGCGACCATGCCCTTTTGCATCTTGTTGCGGACCTTGATGTGGACTTCCGTCCCAATCTTGAAGTTGCCCTTGGTCACGTACATCATACCCAACGATTGCTTCAACGTTGGGCTCAATGTGCCGCTCGTGACCGTCCCGATGCGTTCGCCTTGGGGGTTGTAAACTTCGGCACCTTCGCGGGCGGGCGCGCCGTCAACGGTGAACCCGACGCGCTTCTTGGTGAACGTCTTGTTGTTCAATTGGTCCAAGATGATGTCGGCACCAGGGAACCCGCCTTCTTCGCGGCGGCGCTTGCTCATCGTCCATGCCAACGCGCCTTCGATGGGGGTCGTTTCCGGCGTGATGTCGTGGCCATGCAAGCACAAACCAGCTTCCAATCGAAGACTGTCACGGGCGCCGAGACCCTACAACATGCCAAGGTCAGAATGCGCTCGTCGCCACCCGCGTCGTCAGAGGTCGCGCTGCCTCGATTGTCCACTCACCGCTTCCAACACACGTTCGTCCGCGAGCAACTTGCGCGTGAACGATTCAACTTGGGACGATGGGACGGACACTTCGAACCCGTCTTCGCCCGTGTAGCCGCAACGAGTCAAGATCACGTCCGCACCGAGGAGGTGGGTGAACTGGCCAGTCATGAAGTTGCTGTCAGCAAGGTTGACCGAGGCAGGCAAGTGGGCCGACACGATTTCGGCGGCACCAGGGCCTTGCAACGCCACCAACGATCGGTCCGTGATCTTTTCGAGCTTGACGTCGCCGTTGAACTTGGCCAAGTGCGATTGCATGTGCGCCCAATCGATGTCTTGGTTGCCAGCGTTCACGACAACGTACAAGTGATCGTCGTACGCGGTGGTGACGCAGTCGTCAATGATCCCGCCCTTGTCGTTCGTGATCAAGCTCAACTTGGCTTCACCGCTCGTCAGGGACGCAATGTCCCCCACAACGATCGATTCCAAGAAGCGGACGCGGTCCTTGCCCGTGATCCTACGTGCAGATGGAGGAGTGATGCAAACATCAACGCCAACAATCTTTCGTCGACGTACTTGAGTTGGCCCATGTGGGACACATCAAAGAGCGACGCCATCCCCTTGGTACGAGTGTGGTTGTGGCTCTTCAAGATGCCGGCGGGGTATTGCACAGGCATGTAGTACCCGGCAAAGTCGACCATCTACACGAACGATGAGAGGATCGGCAGGTAATGGACGAGGAACGAGGTCGCCGCACCTTGCCGCCCAACTCCTTGTGGAGGTCAAAGAGAGCAGTCTTCTTCAGCTATCGTGCACAGGCGAGTCAGCGCCATGTCGAGCGAGCTGGGGGCAGCACAACGTACGCTCGAGAAGCCTCGGCGTTGCACTTGTCCGAGCATCACCCCCGTCGATCGAAAATGAGTGGTGAAGTTCTTTTCATCGACTTCAACCCATGGATTTGACGGGTGTCCGGATAACGTCCTCCTTTTGACTTTGAATGCAATCGCTGCATCATCCACATAACGCTGGGGGTACTTCGAGCCCGTGGATGGGCCCGCGCTGCTCGTTTGAATGTATGCGGGCGTTGTGCGGACATCTGCTCGGTAACCAGGAAGTGGGGCGCGATGGGGCAGTGCCGCCTTTCGTTCGATCTAGCGACGCCCACGCGGCCGTACCGTGCCAACAGGTGTGATCGCAATCACAGTATCCGGATAACAATCGCCTGGCTGAGCTTGCACTAGGCAGCTATTTTGACGACATCACCCGTACAAGGTTGGAAATTTTTGACTCAATTTGTCGGTTAGTTTTTCATCCGTTTCTTGCTCGAACTGTTGTAGCACTCGCCCCAAATGCAGATCGCTTTGGACTTCATGAGCAGCGCAAACTGGTCCATGTTGAACTGTTGCGTGCCTTCGTCAATCGTTTTGGCCTTGATAGACACAGAGACTGCCGCGTCCAAGAGTTGATCGGGGGTCGCAACGGCGTACTCTTGGTACGGGTACGCCTTGTCCTCCAGCGCCACAACGCGCTTCTCCGACGGGACTTGGAACGTGTCCAACACGTAGCCTACTCGTTCACCACATCCATCAGCCTTCTCCACAACGCTGCAAGCCCAGCTCCCATACCAAGAACCTTCTCGATCTGCGCCTTGGTCAATGTCGCGTCATCTGTGGGCTTGGACGCCAGCGGCAACGCAAACAAACTCTCGAGTCGCTCGTCCACCGATCCCTTCACGGCCAGCGAAAATGCTACCAAGAGCAAATTGACGTCGACTTTGCCGTTGGCATTCTTCGGCAAACTCAAAAGAACTCGTTCCAAATGATGCTGCAAGCACAGTCACGTGTCATGGCGTCGTTGAAAAATCTATACCGTGTTTTTCATCGCAGTGCCTTGCAATACTGTGCCCAAGCACAAGTCGAACTCGGCGACCGTCGCTTCGTTGGACGGAAAGTATCGCTTGGCTTGCTTCTTGACAGCGTCAAACACCTCTGGTCTACAATAAAAGCAGCGTTCGATGATCTCTGTGTCAAAGATGACGCGTATTGTAATGGTGGCGTACGTAATAGAGTTTTGAGATCGCAATTCGTACGCCTCAAACGGAGAAATCGGCGTTTTCTCCGCTAGGTCGTTCTGCACTGCGTTGAACTTCTTGTTGTTGACACTGCTGCGGTAGATGTACCCACCGATGCCAAGCAACCCTGCCAAGAAGAAGATTTCAGGATGCCGACTAAAGAAACCAGGGCGGGGTGTTGCGTTGTCGGCGGGAGGTGTGCCTTTTGTTGTCTCAGCAGCCACCTTATTCTCTGTTGCCTCAATCGCAACTTTGTTTTCGATGGCATCGGCGGCTTTGCCTTCAACACCTTTCTCGTTTGCAGTTTTGGCATTCGAGGCGACGCGGCGGGCCGTCACTGGGCGGCGCAGAGTCCGTGCGACGAGACGAGCGTGGCGAGACAGCATCGTGCTTGAATCGACTGGAGTTAATCCATTCCGAATAAAATTCCGGATAAAGGGTAGCATCATGATTGGCCAATTGGAGCAAAGTCAGTTACGGACCTGGGAGATGGTCAAACGACATGCTGCGGTCGCTGCGCGAGCCACCAACTCTGAGTGCCGCATGGAACGAAGACTACGAGCAAAAGGCAGCAGAATGGTTCGAGCTGTTCTTGGACCTCATGATGGTCGCCGTGTGTTCAGACATTGCTCGGAAGCTGAACGAAAACCTGGACGGCGGGGGCCTGGCCCACTTTGTGGCTCTGTTTTGCCTCTACTTCAGCTCGTGGCAGTTGTACACGCACTACAACTCGCGGTTCAACGAAAATAGTCTCTTGCATTACGTGCTGCTGTTTGGGCTGCTATGCGGCTTTGGAGGCATGGTGCTCTCTAGCGAACCCGGCACCATCTTCGCCACAGGTCTCCTCATCACCAGGCTTGCAATTGCAGGCATGAACATCAACACATTTTTGCTCGTGCCAGCAGCGCGCGACTACCTTACCACTGAGCTGTCGATGATCGCAGTTGACGTGGTAGCCTTGGCGTTATGCTTGCTCTTGCCCGGAACGACACTCATCCCAGCCTACGTTGTTCTCCTGGCTGTGGCGTTTGTGGTTCGACCAATCGTTACTCTGACACGAAGTCAGACAACGGACTCAGTGCTGCGAATTGCTATCAATATCGATCACTACAGTGACCGGAATGGGTGCATGGTGCTCGTCGTATTGGGCGAAGCAGTGCTTAAGTCGATTCTCAACCTTGAGCAAAGTGGGAAAGGTGCCACAACCCAGTTCTACTCGACGATGGTGCTGTCTCTCATGGTGATCTTCGCCCTCGCCATCTTTTACTTTGGCGCCCAACCACCTCGGAGTCTCCACGCGATGCGACGTGCCGTGTGGGCTGGGCTCTTGTTTACGTACGTCCATTACGTGTTGCTCGCGGCGCTGTTGTCATTTGGCGTCGGTGTCACTGTCTTGGCGAACAATGTCAAAAAGGACGTGCCAGCTCACAATGGCACCGACGTGTGGCTCATCTTCGGCTCCATTTCAACGTCAATGGCTGCAATTCTCTGCCTCCGTGTGCTGCACTTTGGTGGGCGAAGCATCAAAGTCACGGACCCCAAGATCGTCAAGCAGCTCAAAATGCTCTGGTGGGCCTTTACCTTTTCGTCCCCTGTGTTGCCATTACTTTGTGGCGGCGTGATGTTAGTGATGTTTCCAAAGCGAGTAGACTCGTTGGTTTTGTTGGCCATTGCGTTTGGCTCCCTGTCGTTGCAGCTATTTGGGGAGGCCACCGTCGTGCACTACCTCAGCATCCATGGCCAGCGACACGTGTGCAGTGGCACTGACGAGTGCGTCCCAGAGACGCCGCATGAGCAGAGCTTCTTGGCCAGCGACAGCGCAGGGTAGCTTATCAAGGCATACACACTCGACGTGAGAGTCCTCAACGTGTCGTATTCGACTTTGCCACCCATCATTCATGAAACTCAACGGCACTTGGCACCCTCCCAGACCTCTGGTCCTGCTACATTTCATCACGTTCGATGTGGTTGCTGGTATTTGATATATGCAAGGCAGTCCTCTTTACTCGACAGCTCATTCTTTAGCTATATGTGTAGCTAGTCGCTGATCCTTTCTTCGCGTTCGAGATAGGCATGGCAGGCATAGATTCCCGCACGTAGCTGGACGCAGTTGCCTTCGATGTACCCCTCGACCAGTTAAGCGTGCCATGTGCATTCGAGGGATATAGCGATGTCTGGTCCGTTCTTTCCATTCTCAGTACTGCCGTGGCACAAAGGGCACATGCAGGACCCGTGGATTCATTTGAGGCTCCCGCTTTTGGCGCGTTGTCGCTCCTGCCTTTGAAGCATGGCTGTTGGAGACCGAGCTAATCCTCGACTCACACACGAACACAACACCAACGCAGCTCTAGCTAGCCAAGGCAAGCATGAAGAGGCCGAGCCATGTCACCACGAGGTGGGATTTCGTCGGCAGATGTAAACTACCACGTCTTTCAGAGGGCAAGAGCGGTGGACGCGCATGGTGCCGTGGCACCAAACCCGTTCGAGCGATATACCTTCCTCGCCACACACTCACATCTGCGTGACATAACACTCAAATTCGTACTGTACTGCGGCCACACGTGGGTGGACCGACCAGTTCAACTTGGCCCTTCCACGTCCGATGGTGTCGACATCAAGTCGCCTGGACCGTACTCGACAAACTGGCATTGCTGAACGAGCCGACGTCCCAGGTGAGAACTGCACGGCTCGCACACAACCCCGCGGACCGAGCGCGGGAGGGTCGAAGGGGTATATATGGTGGCTGCCCTGGCGGAGTTCGTGCTGGCGTGTGTCTCGTCTGCGCTGGCTATCCGGATACGATCTATTTTTAGCCGACGCGGCAAAAAGGCAGTAATGCGTCATCCGGATACGGCCGGCGAAAGAATAAAACGTATCGCGATTTTATAAAAACACCTTGCGTTTAGAGCGTCAGTCAAAAATACAAATTGAAAGGAAGGGCGGCCGACGGCGAAGATGGTCCGATCGTTGCCCCTCCGTAGCGGCTTCTTTGCCGCGCCATACATCTCAGAGACCGAGGAAGCAGAGCTCTTGACATGGGCCCGCACACTCGTGTCGTCCATGCACTCGACTGACTCAGAATGGACGCACTCCCATGAAAAGCGGGGCGTGACTGTGAGCGAAGACAGACAAAAGGGAGGGCTCTTCTACAGCATCCGCGGCGTCACGTCCGTGCAATCGTCGCTCGACGACGTCATGGACATGATGATTTCGACGTCCACGCATGAATTCCGGTCCATGATGAAGATGCTGCTCAAGGACATGTCGTTGGACAGCGCCGTGATCTACCAACGCGACCAGAACGACTCCGAGAGCTTGAGCATCAAGTGGTTCGCCCTCAAGAACAAAAGCCCCATGGCAACATCCCAGGACTTTTGCGTATTGGAGTATGCTGGCGTCCTGTCTGCGGACTACATTGGTGGCGATCCGTCCAAGATGGTCGGCGTCTGCTTGTACGAAAGTATCGAGCAGGCCGAGTGTCCGTCGTTGTTCGAGTCTCACAGACTTGAGCGCGGGTCCATTTCAAAATGCGGCTATCTCTTCCGCCCAACCGATGAAATCGGCACAATTGAAGCACAGTTCATCTGCTCTATCCGACAGCCCCCGGTCCGTTTCTTTGCCGCCTCCCCTTCTTCCATGCAATTTATTCTTACGTGATTTTTGTCGAATAGGGCGTCCGCACCACCCGCCGATCGAACCGCGCGACGCTTCAATGCTGGGCAGAATCCCTCGCGAATATTCAAGAGAGCGTTCACACCCGCCGCATCAGCCGACTCCTCACGACTCGGGAGAACCCGACGTGGGTCGCAGACCACGAGCGGTCGTGTTGCTACCTGTGCTTGAAGACGTTCACAGGCATTCGTCGCAAGCACCATTGCCGAGCGTGCGGCGAAGTCATTTGCAAAAAGTGTTCGCTGAACAACTCGGTCGACTTGCCATCAATCGGCCTCACCACCATGCGCGTCTGCAAGTCGTGCTCGGACGGCAAGATGAGCGGCTTACCGTCGTCCGCATCCTTTATGACGACGTCCTCGTCGTTTGATGGGACCGGAATCGACGACATTGTGCTGAAGAAGAGCTCGAGTGACGGTGGGAGCACAGGGCGAAACACGTCGTCATTCTCTGGAGACCAGTACGCGCTGGCAGTCCCGTCGTCTGGCACGGTGTCGGCGAAAGACGGGGTAGTTCCGGATTCAGTCGGGTTGGCTTGGCTCAGTCAGATCGCTCAACGTGATCCTTCCAAACGAGAAATCGTGGAGCGCCTGATCGCAGGTTTTGGCGCAGCCGAAGCCGGTGCGATCAACAGCGCGGACATTCCCCTTCCCGACGCGTCGAACGCACCCCCCGAAGATATTTATGACCTCCTCTGCGACCTGGCATCCCAAGCTCTCGACTGCAAATTTGCGGTGGTGCACATCCTGGACGGCAATCGCCAATGGTTCAAGTCCAAAGTCACGATTCGAGAGTCGGACATTGGCCGCGACTTCAGCTTTTGCGAGTACCCCGTCCGCAAGAAGCAAGCTGTGGTCGTGCTCGATACTTGGCGAGATCCACGCTTTGAAATGAATCCCCTCGTGACTGGACCCCTCCAGGTTCGCTTCCTCGCCGGGGCGCCGCTCTTCGACCTGGACGGTCGATGCGTTGGCGCCGTTTGTGTTCTCGATTCCAAACCTCGGACGCATCTGCCTCAAGCGCAAGTGGCCCTCATGGAAAAGCTAGCCCATCTCGCCATGGTATCGATGCAAGAACGTCGCGAAGCGCTGAGTAAGAAATTGGCCGCGTCGTCCCGCCAGGTCGTACCGCGCCACCACCACATATCACCGCCTGTGGTTCGACCCACAACTGGACCGTACGAAGTCGTCGACACCGCCTACACATCCACTTATCAACGACGACAACTGCCGCATTCGACGTCGAGCGACATGGTGCCGCTGCACAGCTACACTGGAAGCAATGGGAGCCATGGAAGCTATGGCAGCAGCACCCTCGTGCACCACGTTCGTTCGCAAGCTCAATTGGCAGCTCAAGAAGAGCAACGCAAGATGCAGGAACAAATGATGGAGCTGCTGCATCAGTCCTCCATCACGCAACAGACCCTCAAGTCGTCGGTAAAAATGCAGAGCACACATAGCTCAGGCGACTGAGGGTAATCTAATAGACAGCAAAGCACACACACACACACGCAGCTTTGTCGTGCGCCCGACGCCGTCGGCCATCTCGAGATGTTGCTGCTGGGACATCTGCAACTGTCGTTCATTGGCTGGAATTCGGCATGTGAACGACCACTTGGCAACCAAAAACGACGGCGGCGGCGCCGGTGGATCTCCCGACGGGCGATGCGCATGCGAGTACCAGCCGCAAGTCGCCTTGCGAAGGCGACCATCTATGCCTTACGGCACCGAGGAGCAATGCAGCCATGTCATGTGCGCGCCCTGTCGTCTGTTGCCAGCTCCACCGAGGCTGAGCCTGGGTCGCATCGATGGGTGGCACGCGCCGCTGCTGGAGCTGCCGTGGCTGGCGCGGCACTTGGAGCGTACACCGTCATATTCAATGACGACAACCGGCGCTCTTTGAATGCAGTGGTATCGCTCGGCAAGGTTCTCACTGATATTCACGGCGCGTCGGACGCATTGGATGCCGTCTCGCTCCACCTAGACGATCAAGGAATGAATTCCAACTGCCTGGATGAACACGCCAGCTCCATTCTCGTGGCCATTGCGAAAGAGAAAATGTTTCGCGATTCAGTGGTCGAGCACGGGGGTCTTGCCGTGCTCATGGACACGTGTGCTCATACGTCCGAGCCCAAGTTGCAAGAACGTGAGCATGTCGCCATGACTACATGCAGTCTCGATCAGGATCAACTCAAGATGTCTTGTAGGCATCGTGCAGGCAATTGCGGCACTCGCCAACACGAAAGGCGCCGATGAAGTTCTTGCTGACATTGACAAGAGTTCGTACTTGCTCCTGCAGTTAACGCCATCCATTGTCCACCGCCAACCCCATGACCCAAGACCTGTGGCCATTGCACCGTTGGACTTGCTCAAGCTCGAGGCGGCCTTCACCCGCATTCGCGAAAAGTACTCATGCAGTACCTTTCATCCCGAGGTGAGTTGCCAACCATTCAGCTCGATCTCAACGACATCGCACCATAGCTGAACGTCGCAGCCACTGAGGCGGTGCTGGACCGGCTGACTAAAGTCATCACGGGGTCTAGCTCCACCGACTTCATCCAGGTACGACACATCTTGACGAGCAATTGTTCACGATGGTGGAGAAGTGTAGTTTAGCATGTGGGCCATGCGATCGCTGCTGACCCATCTGGAATGCACGGACGCCACTCTGTTTCACGCAATGGGGCTACATTTGAACATTCATTTGTCGTCTGCATTGTTTGCCATGGCAAAGCACGACCAAACAAGTCCAGGTGTCAAGCTGCATGCTGCCAACTTACTCGCCACGATGCTGCGGAGCAGACTGCAGCCGATTGCGCCACGCGTGTGGTGCGAAGAGGTATTTTCGTGGTGCAAAGTTTGATATTGTCACGTGATGCGTCGTCGTCTGTGCACAGGTGGCGATATGGGCGAGGGACGCGAGCGCTGACATGCAACTTTTGAGCGCGCAATGCCTTGAACTGCTGGCAAAGCAAGTTCCAGCCGAACTCGCGCACTCGAGCACGGCCCACGATGCCTTGCTACACCTGGCGCGTAACACCCGCAATACAAGCGCTATCGATCACCCACGGGCGGTGAGTGCGTCCACCACGGCCATTCAAATTCACGTCTCGAGTGCTGTGCATGCACTTGCTGACGTGCTCCAAACCGGCCTCCACACGACGGTCCAAGCCCCTATGGCCAAAGTGCTCGGCCATCTCGACGACGTCATGCCTGATGCACACGTACACAAGTCGACGTTTGCAATTGCACAACGAGTGATCCGTAGGACTACGACGTGTTGCCGAAGATTGGTTGGGTCGACGTTCTAGCCGAGTGGTCTGTGAGTTCGCATCCCACCGTGTGTGCGAACGCGATTCAAAGCTTGGCGCGTTTGGCAATGCAACCGCGACAGGACGATCGAAGCAAACAAGTCCTGCAAGCGTGGATGTTGGGGCTGCTCCGTCATTTGGCCTCGATCAAGGTATCTTCGTTTTTTCACAGAAGCTTCATCGTGAAAACACGGTCTTTCGACAGGCCACGGCCGTCGAGTGTCGGCGGGCGGTCGCCAACGTCGAAGGGTTGGTCAACATGACCCACGACCAAACTCCTGGCTATGTGCATGTCCCATATCGATCCCAAGCGATTGAAAACGGACTGGCTGCCTTGGCTGTGCTGGTGGTGTGTGTTTGGCTAGTGGATATGACGCTGACGGTATTTTGCAGAACGACGATGCAACCACGAGCGACGTGTTTGTAACCCACGGTGGCCTCGAACTGGTGGCGCTCACCGCCATCATGTCGTCCAGCAAAGCCATCAAAACGCAGTGCGCTCGAGTCGTCGCGAATGTAGCTGTCCACCACCACAACATCCAGCGACAGCTCCAGGATGTCCTAGGGGGCGATCTCTTCACCCAAGACATACTCCACTGGGAGGACGAGCCGAACGTGGTCGTCCGGTCGAGCTACTACCGCGCAGCCGCCAACTTTGCCGCGGCCACGGCTTCCACAGTACATCGCGTTTATGCCTTGAAGTCTCGAACAACAGCTAACAATGTGACGTACCTAGACTGGACATCCAACAGAGTTCTACAAGGACGGCCTGCATCCCATTGTATCACGACCTGCTGCCAACACCACATCGACACCGCCCATTGACGTCGTTCTCGTCCACGGGCTGCGTGGTCACCCCTTTGGTACAACATTCGGGCGCCTGCAGGGCCAACAAACCCCATGTTGATTTTGGACCTAGGAACGTGGCGCACCAGCATGAGTGTGTCGGGGAATGACGTGGATATCCTCGAACACGGCAAGATGTGGCCGGAAGCGTTCTTGATGCCAGACCTGAATCCAGACTCGAGGGTTGTCACCATGGGGTACGACGCGGGCATGTCCAAATGGAGCTCTCCGTGGCGGGCTTTGACGCTGGACGAACGAGCCGCAGTGCGTAGCTTCATCTTCTTCTCACATCTCCGCTGCCGAGTCTGCACTCGCTGTTCTCGGTCTCGTTTGCCATGAGTTTGACGTCACCATGGCCTTGGTAGGTTATGTTGGATGCATTGCAAACCGCACGCATTGGGGCCAACGGAAGGCCTGTCGTTTTCATCACGCATTCCATGGGTGGGCTCTTGGTACGCGCGACATGGATGCGACCACACATACTCAAGACGATGTCGCAGGTGAAAGAGATGCTGTCCCAAGCCACGGGAGCTGGACTGGACATTGCGCGCCAGACGGTGGGAGTCGTGTTTTTGGCGGTGCCACATTTCGGAGCCAACCTGGCAACTTTGAACAACGAAACCCTCCGAAACCTCGTTCAAGCCCATCCCGCGACGAAACACTTGAACGAAAATAACTCTCGTCTTGCCCAGCTCAATGCTGCATTTGAAGCGCTCCAGATTCCGTCGCTAAGCCTGGGAGAAGGTGCCCCCGCGCCGCTCGGCCTTGGCGTGAGCCACCTCGTCGTCAAGCCCGAGTCCGCGGACCCCCACATTCCTCTGTCAACGTTTCACATGATTCCACACGCGCACCACATGGACATTTGCAAGCCCCCGACCCCCGCCGACCCACGCTATTCCTTGATCAGAGACTTTATCCTCCAACACGTCCAGCACCCTCAGGACGCAGTCGAGTAACTTCGGACGTACATCTGGCGATTGTGTTTGCAATTTTGAACTCAGCGGACAGAGGTGGAAAAGTTGACCAGAGAGCATGAAGACAGAGCTTGCATGAGTCGAAGCAGTCCACTGGGAGTGACGGCGGCAGCCGCAAACTCACCGACTGCCGTCGTGCTCGATCACGCGTGTGGATGGGAGTGCCGGACGACGACGAATGGATGACAGTAGGTCTGGCCCTTTGGCTGCTAGTCAAAGCTGTCTACGAGCATTCGCACGTGTGGCCCTCGAGATAGGAGGCAGCCAGGGCTTCCCGGTCAGAGCTGTGGCTTGGTGGCGACGCAGCGAATACGGATGCATGAGTCATGGAGGTAGAAATAGTTCATGAGATTTGGTGCCTTACTACTCCACAGGCATGTGTTGAGTCTATTCCTTGAATCCTTGCAATCTGGCCGCCGAGTTTTGGAATGAATACAAGTATCCGCCGACCGTGCCAAGAATGCCGGTGGCCACCATCGACGGCACACGGACAGGTCGGCCAAGCGCGTAGCCCGCGCCAAACGACACGACAGAGAACGCGGCGACAGTCACGTAGTCCGAGAAGTTGAAGTTGCTGGTTGTGTCGTTAAAGGATGGGTATTTCATCTTGACGGGGTACTTGGGGAGGCGGGGGTCGAGGGGCGGCGACGACATGGTTCGTGTGGGTTGGCCTTCAGTCACTGGGTGGCGTGGAACTGGAACTGTTAAAACCGATAAATTGTCACAAAAATATTGTGTTCTCACAGGTCCCTCTGACAGTACATAGTATTTATCCGGACAATCCCCACTTTCGACCCGCCCGCGCCAACAAACGATGGGCAACGTCCTCCGCGGCGAGCTCAACACGCCCAAACCGATGGTGGACCCGCGCTTACCAAAGTTCCCAGTGATAGAAGACAAACCGAGCTGGAGCCAAATCAAGGAAGCTGTTCGCCCGCGCGACTTTTGGACGTACGGCTTTGTCGTGGCCGCGTCTGCACTCGGAGGATGGTTCATTCCACCAAAGACGCTGGCGACGCCGATTCGCCAGCGCCTGTGTGTGGGCACTGCTGCCGTAGGGTCACTCTTGGGTTTGTTGATGCTCCACGACTTTGGTGAAGCACGGCTGAGGGGGTATGCCATCAATGACGTGGAAGTGATCAAGTTTGGGCTGCAAGTGCCGACACACATCGACGACACTAAGTCCACCACCGAGTAAACATGCTTCCGAATTCACAAAATGGCGCTATTTGTGTATGGCTATGGCGTTTGCCAACTTGGGAGTACAATCTCTAGTCGACACCTGGCAGCACGCGCCGTCGAGTGGCTGCAGTTTGTCCCCGCTCAGATGCTTCTTGCGCTTTGTCTCGTTGCGCAGTCTAACCATCTCTGGTAAAATCTTACCGAGCCGTCCATGTCAGCGCTGTCAAGTCATGTAGTCCCTCCCCGAACGACCTCACCCTTCATCGTTTCATGGCGTGTGTGTGCACTCGATCCAAGCTACAACATTTCGATAGGGCAACTAACGTCCCAGCGTAGAGAGCCGCAAAAGATCGTACAACCCAAATTCATGTTTTGGTTGAGGCGAGTCCTCAATTTAAAATTGACGGAATTGCTTGCGCACGTTGATGGGCTTGGTTTCCGAAGCGGCTTCGACTTCCAACACGTTGAAGCGGACGGTCTTGGCCAAAGGACGGCATTGACCGATCGTCACGACGTCACCTTCCTTGACACGGAAAGCAGGCGAGACGTGGGCAGCCACGTTCTTGTGGCGCTTTTCGAAACGCTTGTACTTCTTGATGTAGTGCAAATAATCACGGCGAACGATGATGGTGCGCTTCATCTTGTTGGACAAGACCACACCCTTCAAGATACGGCCACGGATCGAGACGTTGCCGGTGAAAGGGCACTTCTTGTCCACGTACCCGCCTTCGATGGCGGTCTTGGGGGTCTTGAAGCCCAACCCAATCGACTTGTAGAAACGAGGGCCCGACTTCTTGCCAGCGAACTTCTTCGAGGCGAGGAAGACACCGTCTTGCTTTTGGAAAGCCTTCTCGGTCTAGAGGGAGATTGCACACACACACGTTAGCATCCCTCACATTTCGATCGGAGGTTATCGCCTGGGGGAGCTATCAACCTCCCCCAATAGCTATCTCCATGTGATTTTTGACAGTGTCATCATGATATCGAATCGTGACGATGCGCAGAGCAAACGACACATCACAGAGGTCGCTACGGCGGCAGATATCCCCTGCTTTCGGCGGCTCAACTTACTTGGTCGACGTGTTCGGTGGACATGTTCGTCAAAGTATGAATTTGGGAATACGGCGGCACATGGGCCGGTCGCTGGGGCTCGCACCAGTCAAATCCATTGACCAATCAAACGTGTTCCATGAGGCCACCAGTCGTTTACCGGCATTTCCGGATAACCTCACCCGCTCCAAATAGTTGGTTTCGGCCGAAACCCCTCACCATGTTCAGTTGTAGTTGGTCGTGATGAACGACAATAGAGGAGGTTGTACGCACACGGTACCGTCGGAGCGATCTCATTGCGATGGCCCAACCCGAAGCTGCTCTTTGAAGTACACAGGTCATTGGGATTGTATTTGCCACGGTAGCCTTCATGACAACACTCCTTGAACCGATGACTCGTCACACCTGATGAAATTGTTTGATATGTACGACGGAGTATGTATTCTATATATCTTGGTTAGTTGTGCAGAACATTCTCGGTGAATATTTCAAGCGGGCGATTTCGAGCGGTTCGATTGGACGAGGTATAATTGCAGCGCTCGGAAACTGCGCAAGTTGCCACGCGCATCGCCACCATGTCTGTTGCGACGATGCCTCTTGTGGGCAAGAAGTTCCAGGCCAAGCTTGGAGGTATGGCGAACGAAGCTGTGGCGTCTGGCGTATCGTCGTTTGCGAAGCGTCAGATGGAAAAGATGGGGTGGACCGAAGGCAAAGGATTGGGCAAAGACGAACAAGGGATGGCGACGCACATCAAGGTGAAGCGCCGCGAAGAGAACATGGGCGTGGGGGTGGAGACCAAGGAAAAGGAGGACCAGTCCAACCAGTGGTGGTACAACGTGTACAACAATGTGGCAAGCAAGATCGTGGTTGACCCATCGAGCGACGACGAAACCAAGAAGGCGAAGAAAGCCAAGAAAAAGGCCAAGAAGGAACTCAAGCGCAAGCTCGAGGCCAACGAAAGCAATCTTATCGACGAGCCCACGGACGAGCAATTGTTTGCCGCAACGGGTGGAAAGCTGTTTGGTCGCCGGGCATATGGATCATGCAAGGGCAAGCTCATGCGCGATGCCATTCAAACGGGCAAAGTCGTGACGGACACGGTTGGCGACGGCAAAAAGCGTGAAAAGAAGAGCAGCAAGAAGGCCAAGAAGGCCAAGCGCTCCACAGATAGCGACGACAGCACAGACGTTGCTGCATAGAGCGTCATGCTGTGTTGGACAGTGTTCTCCTATTTAATGCCATCCAGCTACCCTTGTCAAGCTGGTGACATCGCGTGTAAACCCCAGCTACGAAATTCGCCCGTCGCGCGGACGGCGGATCCGAGAGCTCATCCAGCAGGCTGTGCATGGGATCGACGGGCTATGCAGAACGCGCTTGAGCAGGCATTTTCCACGTTGCACCATCACTGCATGGACGTAGCATACGCTGCAGAGTGCGGTGGCAAGCAAAGTGGCTTCGATGGTGGCTCAGCTCGACCTACTCCATGTCCCGCCACGCTGCCATCGCCATGAGGTCGTCGCTACCAGGCAAGCTGCATGAGAACTGCATCACGTTGTTGCGACGTACTGCATGCGTCGGTGCTGGTCATGGATGCGACGGATGTAAAACTCGTCGTCGTACGTCACCTTTGCACACACAGCCCACTGAGAACCAAACGTCGAACGAAGCTGACGATTTGCGCTGGACACGTACGAAATCGCCGACTTCATCGTACGCCATGGCAATACACTGCCTAACCTTTTTCGTGACGCCCGTCAACACGATGAGCTTGTCTTTAACGTCGTTGAGGGCCTGCACAGAACCAATGCATGACTCGGACGTCCATGGCGCCTCCGAGGGCCAGCGGGTAGCCAGGCAAGACACATTCGTTTCTCTCACCACTGGAATCGGCAGGGATTGCGTACCATGCGAGACGGGTCACCCCCTTTCAGCAGCTTCTTCACTTGGTCCCACATGCCTTCGCGCTCTTGAATCCAGGCCGCGCACACTTCCCACAGCAACACGGCGTCGGGCAAGCGATGGGCGTGATCAGGGTGGCTGTACTTGAGCGCCATGTCGAGTCGCATCGTCGTCGGCATGAGCAGTCCCCGCCACACGTTTTCGAATCGCACGCTGGTGGGCCAACAGTCAAAGCAAGTGTGCAAAAGGAATTGGTTCAAGTGTCGGTGCCACCTTAGCAGAGGGTCCAACGCCATGGGGTCAAACGGGCGGTTGTGGCTGCTTTCGTCCGCGCGCCGTTGCGTCCACAGCCCCACCAGGCGCTTGTCCGTGTCGACGTCATGCATGCTCTCCATCAGTTCCCTTCTCGACATTTTGGGCTTTCCTGCACCACAACCGTAAACCACTTCCAAACCACATATCGATGTTCATCTAGCCATCACAGCGTACCTCGATGGGACCCTGTAGCCAGGGACAAGTCTGGCGTGCTGTTTTTGTTTCGCCGGTGCGTCTGCGGCACGGGAGGCGTCAAGTGGACTGGAATCTCGACCTACAAGGTTGAAACATTGAGTGTCGATGTCCAGAAGAGCTGCTTCCCGGACCACCGCTTCCGTCGACACAATCGCGTCGTCCATCGACATGGACATGTCATTGAGCGCACACTTGATGGCCATGTCGACAAGTTCGGCGACTTTCATGGGCTGGTGGAGCTGCTGCCGAAACTCGTGGTACACGTCGTTGGTTGCCATGTACAGCGTCTTGACTTCTCGAGCGAGCAACGTGTTGTTCTTCTCCTGGAACTGCGAGTCCAGGACCATGTCGGTCACGTTGCGCACCATAGGCTTCTCTGGGCGGATCTCCATCGCATGCAGGGCAGACGACAGCGTGTCTCGCTCCCGGGGGCACGCCCGGGCAAAGTAGCATGACTAGCTCCGTCGTGACCATCGAATCAACCCCATGGACATGGACGTGTTCCGACGACGTACGACGTTGAAGTCATCCAGAGCGATGGGGTCAAATCGGTGCAGAGGCCGCGCCGTCGACGTGGGCTGCGCTGCCTCCGACTCTATCGCTTCCCACACTTCGCGAGGAATGACATAGTCGTCGAAGATCGTGTGGTGGTGCGGCAGCGCCGAGCAGTTTTCCCGCATCAAGTACCGTGCCTTTGGGGCTACAACGACATGGTTTGGTCTCGCACGACAGCTGACGACGGAGGCTCGTTCAACTCACTGATTTTCGGGATGCTCCCGTCACGTTTCGGCAGGGGCGCCGACAGGTCAAACGTAGCGTCGGCCAAAATGGGCCGATCGCGGAATCGAGTGACAACGTCGTCGGAGCTGTCGTCGGTCTTGTCCAAGAGCTCCCGCAGCGTGACGGGGTTGCGAGGCAAATTGACGAGCAGCGGTTTGTGGCACTCCATCGTCCGTCGTCGCCGCTCTTCGGCTACCACATGCACGGCTGTGACAACAATACGATTGGATTTTTTGTTACTGTACCTTCTTTCTTTTGGTTGTGTGGCGTCGCAGCGTCGGCGACTGTGCGCGACGAGTGGTATGCATCCCGAGGCACGTGCAGAAACTTTTTCGGACTTTGTGCGTGTGGCAGGCCTCCACTGGGGAGCGGGGGGGGCTTGGGTGGACTCAGGGGACCCAGCGCCCCCGTACTCGTCGTGTGGGCAATGTTGTTGCTGTGTCCCGCTGCCGTCCCAGCACTTGCATCGAGCACTGCCGACGTGTACTTTCGTCGGGGATGCTCCACACGAAGGGCGGTCGCCGTGTCGCCGTCAGATTTGGACGCAGTTTTGATCTAAAGCGACGACGAGTTGACACTTTGCATTAGAGGGTTCGACCAACCCGTTCGAGGACGCTTGGGACGTCAATTATGCGATTCACTTGAACGAGTAGCTGCCCATGCAGGCGCGTGATGTTGGCGGCGTTGTGAATGATGCTGTGGGCATTCAGCACGTCCACGTTCTTCATCAGCCGGACGTAGAGTTTCGAGATGTCATGAACCAAGGCCTCCCGCAGCGGTTCGTTCCACGATCTGTGCAAACCATAGGCACCTTTTGTCGGTTGGACGGGAGCACGTACGAGTCGTGCTTGCGACATAGCGCGGAGTCGGCCACGTCGATGCGAGTCCACGGAAAGAGAGTTGGGATCTTACAATGACCAAGGCCATGACCACGTCAGATAGCACCCCCCGCCCTCATGAACAATCGCTACCTGCATGACTTGGTCGGCGATCAACCGTCGTTGCAATTCGGCAGACTCATGTTCTGTCTCGAACTTGCGGCGCTCGGCGACGATGTTCATGTTTGAAGGGGCACAACAGTTTCACATGTCGACGGCACGTTGGTTGCCACCGACAAGCAGCCACGTTTCGTTCAAATCAATTCTTGTGGAAAGAGTGGGGTGCATCTCCTCGATCCGGGCAGCGTGGTCGGCTTAACAACTTCGTTGGCTGCCCTCTACATCTTGCTAGACTGTGTCACCTGACAGAGTTCTACATGCGGTCATCCCATACGAGTCTGCTCGCAATGTATTCCACGTTCGTGCACTTTGCCGTAGTGGCACGCCATTTCGGTCGAGTGTGGCCCCGTCCTAGCGGCCCACTTCATGATGCACTCAATGTGCACTGAGCGACGGAACTTGCCACAGCTGGCCGGTACACGGCCGTCGAATGGCGGCATGATCGTCGACGTATAGCTCATGTATTTGCTATGGGCGCTTGTCTTGGCTACGAAGCGAGACAGGCCGCTGCTTGGCGCTTCCGCCGCGGGGTCGAGAGGAAGTCATGACCCTTCGACGAAGGTACGATCCTCGCTGTGTCGTAGACCCGATGAAGTACGCATCGATAAAGTGCGGTAATGTTCCACATACAGATGTCAAGTACAAATCTTTTAAAGTGCGGGTACTCGATGCCCTTGTCGCTCCCCTCCACCAGAAAAGTATTGGTTCTCGCGCTGTGATTGGTCGAATTGTACCTTGGGATCGGTCACCATTGAAATATCCTTCTCCTCGGAGCTGATTGCCATGCAGGGTGTCCTGCGCCGGTTCCTTCGCCGCGAAGCGTCGTCCGTGTCGACCACCGTAGCACATGCCTTGCCTCGATGGCAGCAACATGCGTTGCGGCCGCGGGTGATGGGATTCCGCCAAACCCGACACAAGTCATCGCTACCCGTACTGCACACTGTTTCTGCCACCACCGACGACGACGAGTATGACAGCGGCGACGAGTTTGAGTCGTTGACGAAAGCCGACTGGTTAGAACGTGCGCTCAACTTGACGCCGGCAGAGCGCCGGCTCAAGTTTAGCAAGACGAACCAGCCAACCTTGGGCCACCGACCAACGCATGAGATCGCGCCCGTGGTGCTCGAACACGGCCCTGGCTTTTCGCTAGACCTGTCCGCGTACGACGAGATGAAACCCAGCGCGGTCGAACGCCAGACGCGCCTCGGCGACATGACCACTGAGGAGATTGATGCGTGGCTCGAAGGCTTTGACATTCCCGACGAAGCGGCGAAGCTCAACAAGTCGCCCGCCGAAGTCCGGCACTTGTACGCCAAGCAGCTCCGCCTTGAACAAGCGATATACGAATTGTCGCTGGAAAAGCTGCAAAAAACGACCCAAAACGTTGCCGAACTGTCGAAAGGCGCCGAAGTCGGGACGGCCAAGGCGTACATGGCCAAGTGGGATGGCCCGATGGTGAAGGCGATTCAACAGCTCAAGATTGACATCGCGGACGATGACAACACCGACTACATCGTGGATGGCAAGCTGTTTGGGCCCATTTTGTTTTTGCTGCCGGCCGAAGTCCTCGCACAGATTGTGATCAAGACTGCGCTCAACCACGTGCTGCTCGAAGTCGACGGCGTCAAGTTTATCAAGATTACGCTCGGCCTGGGCAAGGAAATTCAGGACGCGATCATTGAACAGCGCAACAAACTCAATAAACCTACTTCGTTCCATCACGGCGGTGGCTTCCAAAAGCCGTTCGACCGCAACGCTCCGAAGCGCGTCGCGTCGGAGGAAGACAAGCTCAAGTTCTTCTCCAAGCTGTTCAAGACGCTGAAAAAGCCCATGATCGACAAGTCGCTCAAGTACTTTGACGAAGCAGGGTCGTGGAGCAAAGAAATCCAGCTCAAACTCGGGTCGGCCTTGCTTGATCTGCTCGAGAACAACTGCTATGAAGACGGCGGTGACGACGACAGCCAAGTTCTAACGCACCGCGAACGTGCAACGTCCCATCTCCAGACCGAATTTCCCGTCCCGCAAAAGCGCCACAAGGCGTTTTTGCACTCTGTCAAGTACGAAAACAATCGCCGGTATGGCATCATTCAGTGCAGCCCTGCCGTGTACAAGCGCGTAAGTCGACGAGGGCGTCATGGTTGAGATGACTTAGGCAAGTGTTGGCGACGTAGATCATGGACGGCGACGTGTTTCTGCCTGGGTTTGCCCGCTACCTCCCCATGGTGGTGCCCCCGAAACATTGGCAAGGCGTGGAAAACGGCGGGTACTTGACGATTCCGACCAAGATCATGCGCCATCGCGACTCGGGCAAGTGGCAGCTCCAGTGCGCCGCCCGTGGGGAGATGACCGACGTGATTCGGTCGCTCAACCTGCTCGCGGACATTCCGTGGGTGATCAACAAGGAAGTGTTGCAGGTTGTGATGGACGTGTGGAAGTCTGGCGGCGACTTTGGCGACTTGCCGCCGCGACGCGACCTCCCGATGCCCGCGGAGCCCGTCCTCGAGTCGTACATGCACATTCCGAACGAAGCCGAGCGCGACGCCAAGTTCAAGGAGGACATGGACACGTACTGCAAAACGGTCCGCAAGGTACGGTCGAACGACAGTGGCGTCATTCGCAGCGTCAGAATCAAGCCCTTCCTCGCCATCGCGATCGAGGCAAGGGTTCAAACTGCACGCGAGAACAAAGCGGGGAGGCGTCGCAGACACCTGCACGGCCACGAGGCACGCGTCTCTGGCCCTTGGATGTGCAGGCATCTTGTCGCCTCCCCCGACATCGCTTGGATCGGTTGGACGAGTGTGGTGTGCTCATCGCGTGCTTTTTTTCTGTCCGACTAGGTCGAGAAGAAGAACCGCGAGTACAATTCGCTCCGGTGCGATACCGTGTACAAGCTCCAAGTGGCCGAGGAGTTCCAGCACGAAGAAGCGATTTACTTTCCGTACAACATGGACTTTCGTGGACGCGTGTACCCGATCCCGCCCAACTTGAACCATCTTGGCAGCGACATGTCCCGCGCCCTTCTCATCTTCAAAGACAAGAAGCCACTTGGTCCGGACGGTCTGTACTGGCTCAAGGTCCACCTCGCGGGGCTGTACGGGATCGACAAATGCTCGTTTGACGACCGCGTCAAATTCGTCGACGAGCACATCCCACAGATCCTGGCGAGTGCCGCCGACCCCCTTGGAGAGTCGGAAGACGCGCGGTGGTGGCAGCAGGCGGAAGCGCCGTTCCTCACCTTGGGCGTTGTGTTTGAACTGGCGCGCGCGATTCAGTCCCCCAACCCGGAGGAGTACTTGAGTAATGTCCCGGTCCACATGGACGGGTCGTGCAATGGACTCCAGCATTATGCTGCGCTCGGTCGTGACCAAGCCGGTGCCGAGCAAGTGAATTTGGTCAAGGCGGACAAACCCCAGGACGTGTACACGGGCGTCGCGTCCCGCGTGATTGAGCAGATGGAGCGCGATGCCGCCGTCCCTCTCTGCACGTTCGAAGAGTGCCTTGCCAAGGTGCGTGAAACCAAGAGCCACGAATGGGCCGCACTTGTCGCCGCGCACGAAACGTACTTGGCCGCCGAAGCCGACTACAATAAAAAGTGCCACAGCCGCAAGCGCGGCGAACGCATCGGCCACAAGCCCAAGCCCGTTGCGCGGCCAGACGAAGACGAATACTTCAAACGACAAGCACTGTACCTGCAGCAAGAAATCGCAACAAACAAAGAGTATGCCAATATGCTCCTGAACCACATCAGCCGAAAGGTCGTCAAGCAGACCGTCATGACGTCCGTGTACGGTGTGACAGCGATCGGTGCGAGGCGGCAGATCCAAACGCGTCTGGAAGAAATTTTCCTCCTTCAAGGGCGCGACATGGACGACGAGCTGGAGGAAAAGATTTACCTGGCCGCCAAGTACGCGTCCGACTTGACCATGGGAAGCATGACCAACTTGTTTGCGGCCGCCCGCCAAATCATGACGTGGCTATCGGATTGCACGCAAAAGGTGGCGGAAGAAGGCCAAATGATGAGTTGGATCACGCCACTTGGTCTCCCCGTGACGCAGCCGTACCGCCTGGACGCGTCCAAGCTTGTGCGGACGTCGAAGCAGCATGTCGTGCTGACGCTCCCCGACTCGCGCAAGGTCAGCGTCGGCAAGCAGAAGACGGCATTTCCCCCCAATTACGTGCACTCGCTGGACTCGACGCACATGATGATGACTGCCCTCAAGGTGATTGGCGAAGACAACCTCGAATTTGCCGCCGTCCACGACAGCTACTGGACCCACGCGTGCTCGGTGCCCCAGATGAACCGCCGCCTCCGCGAAGAATTTGTCGCATTGTACTCGCAGCCGCTTCTCGCCGACCTCCGCGAACAGTTGGTCTTGCGCTTCCCTAACCAGCAATTCCCCGACATTCCCAAGACCGGCGACCTCAACTTGGAAGACGTGCTCGAGAGCCCCTACTTTTTCAACTAAGAGCCGACTCACCCTCGTCTCCCTCTATTTAACAAGAATTTTCCCACATCAAACCATTCGCGTGCGTTGTGTTCGTTGGATGACGTGCTGCTTGAGCATATTGCCGACGGGGAGTCGACCTGC